TGACTTGATTTTACGTCCGGAACTTTAACGGAATATAATCTGTCAATCGGAAAGCATTTGTTCTGCCATCAGATCAGCCATTTTTCCAGAGTACAAAATACTCCATAAATTGAACAACAAATTTATACCGGAGTCAAAATTCTCCGGGATTTGAATAGCAAATTTAGACGATTTTGATTCAAAGTAGATCACCATCATCGTATAAACAGAAAAACTATTCTGGTCCTTTTATACGCCTATAAAAATATGTACGCTCAAATCCAAGTGAAAACTATTTTTAGCTCACTAAAACGAAATTCGATCGTTTATATGACGGATTATGATACGGCACCATGGACGTTCTTCATAACACAATTTGTAGTTTTTTGTCTATCACGTAACTAGTAACATAACTTGCAAAAGTTTTTATTCATTCGTTGATGACTATTGATAGACAAACGGCACAATTATAACGTGACAACCATAATTGAAATTGCTTTAAAATAAAAAATTTCTTAAGATTATGATATAGCCTCCAATAAAATCAACAATATTTTTAAAATTAAGCCTTTGTCAGAATGTGTATAAAATAAAAAATACCATTTAAAACTGGTTTATTGACCTAATTCCAACTGATATTCCATAGAAGGTCTGATGTGCACCAAAATTGCACTCATCCAAGATCTTTTGATCTTTCAAACAAGTTTCATTAAAACCAGACAAAAATTATGGTCTCTAGAAAATCCACAACATTGGTACATATATTACAAGCTTTGCCACTATTTGCGTAAGGCTGTGGGCCAATTTGACAGGATGTTTTGGTCCGATTTTCACGATAAATCAAACTCATCTGTAACGCAGATATCTTTTTACATTTTTTAATATCAAATAAAAATTAAGACCTCCAGAGGGTCCACAAGCTAAAAACATGATTTTTCGAACAACCACAGGTATTAAATCCTGGAAGTTATGGCCCGATACGTGTCAAAATCAAACTCATCCAAGATCTTTGGGACAATATATATATAAGTTTCATAATAAAAAAATGTGATCCGTAGAATGTCCACAAACAAATGTGAACAAACATACCGATTCACAGATGGGAGAGAGAGAGAGAGAGAGAAATGGGGTTTAAAGTCCACTCGACACAAACTAGGTCATTTCGGGACTAACATATGGTTTAATTTTATTTCAATAATTCGCTTGCGCATAGGGGTCTTTAGCAGTGGGAGGAAACCGGAGGACCCGGAGAAAACCCACGAGGTTGGACAGGCGACCCTACTCCTTGTCACGTACAACCGGGGATTCGAAACCACGCCAGTCGACTCAATGACAGACTTTATGATACAGCGCGAACGCTAACCATTCAGCCTCCAACCCCCCCCCCCCCGATTCACAGACGGACAGGGGCGCATAAAAATTTCCCCTGAAAACTGACATCCCTAGTTCTAACAAGGCCAGGTCTGCCTATTGCAGGTCTTTCTTAAGGCCTGAAATGTTATCTAAATTATTAACTAGACATTAATTAAGTTATCCAGATCATAATCAACTCCGGATGTCATCACTAGCCTGCGATATTTACTGGATTGGAATTCAATCTGCTGCTCAACCGATGATTAAATAAAAGATAGGTTGCCAGGCAACAAACATACGACCACAGTAGCTAAATCGTCCGAGCAGTCGACAAGGGTTGTCACATATTTATTCTTTTGTAGATAATTAGGGGAATTTAATATACAATTTCATACAGATGACATTATAATTTTCGTCGTTTGAAGGTTTCACAAGGTTCTAAAAACTAAAACAAGGGCCGTAACTCTGGAAGTAATCTACAGAAATTCGACAGGCTTTTTCATTTTACTAATTCAAATAACGCATATAAATTTCATACAGATTGGATGATAACTTTTGTCGTTCGAACGTTCACTAAGTTCAACAAAGTAAATCCAGTAGACGTGGTACAAGGGTTAATCAGCGAACTGGATGTATGAGATGTGTTGTTGACGTTTGGGAAAGTAGGACGAGGGGAAATGTGTAGGGAGTGAAGTGCTGTAAAGGGATAGTTAGATGTATTATGAATGGTTAGAGTGGCTGTGGTGTTACGGTGAAATACTATGCCGCCACCGTAACACCACAGCTTTATGATTTGTTAGACAGGAGTGATGTAATGGGTGTCAACAACTGGGTATGCTGGTACCATCGCAACGTAGCCGTGAAATATATATTGTGGGGGGGAAGGGCGGAAACGGAAAAATATACAATGTTGACAGTATGTGCCAGGCTAAGGCTGCGCAGACCGAGCGGCAGCTCGATAGGGAGTGTGTGGGAGGGTCACCCTCATAAAAAATTTTTTTTTTAAATTTCAGTTTTCTGTAAGCAGTGAAAACACTATTTTGGCATTGTTTGCGGGGTTAAACCTAAAAATCACATTAATACACCTATTGCACGATATTGTGAAACTAGCTGACGAAGACAGCTCGGGCGGCGATTGTTCGACTCGGGGCTGCTCTGTCAGTATCTAACAAACGCATTTAGTTCGCGTACAACTTTTATTTATTTATTTCTCACATAATTGGTTATCGCAAAAACAGAGTAAACTGAAAGCGAGTAATCTCGACTCAAACCTATAGTCTATAGCCTACTTACGTTACTACACTCGTCACTAGGCTTCCTATATTATTGTTTGTGGACGGTTTACTACTCAGTGATAAGCCTGCGCCGCAAAAAGAGGTCTCGCCTTTTATTATTAGTATAATGACTTCCTCATGTGCGGCAGGTTAGTTTGCTTCTAAAAACACTGTTTTCCGTTCCAAAAAATACAAAAGTAATTTTCTACCAGATGACCATGGTTCTTTTCACCGAGACTAGATAATTTCTCTCGGTGTAAGGATATAGCTATGGATAAGTTCATACAAGGTCAATAAATCCGCGGTCACTTTGGGTCACACTGTTGAGAAAATAAACCAATGGGTTTGTTTAGTAGCAAATCGAGCGTGAATCAACTGAGTTTGTACTGAAAAATTTTTGAGTGATATGTATGAACTGTCTTCACACATTCGGTTTATAATTAGCGATACACAGGTAGAGTGGCAAGTGTTGTACTTCACAGACTGTTTACCTCCGAACTACCTCCGCACGAAATCCCCGATTTGGGTACTTGTTAAAAGAAAAAGAAATAGTACCTGTGCGCATGCCAGTAAAAAAAACCTAAGAGTTCGCGCATAAAAATGCCCGAACGTACCAGGCGCCAGGTCATCAAGGGCCATAACTCTAGACATAATTGACGGAAATTGCTGACATTCAATAGGATTCTTCATTTCACTAAATTAATTGATGCATATGAATTTCATACGGATTAGGTGGTAACTTTTGTCGTTCAAGCGTTCACAAGATTCAACAAAGTTAAACAAGGGCCATAACTCTAGATGTAATTAACAGAAATTTGCTGAAACTCAATAGGCTTGTTCGTTTTACTAATTTAAATGATACATATAAATTTCATATAGATCATATAATAACTTTTACAAGGTACAACAAAGTGAAACAAGGGCTATAACTCACGGCGTAATTAACAGAAATTGCTGAAATTCAATAGGCTTCTTCGTTTCACTAATTTAAATGATGCCTATCAATTTCAAACAGATCGGATGATAACTTTTGTCGTTAGAGCGTTCACAAGGTGCAACAAAGTGAAACAAGGGCCATAACGGAAGTTATTGAAATTAAATAGGCTTCTTCATCTCACTAATGCAAACAACATATATCAATTTCAAAACAATCAGATGATAAATGTAGTCTCTAGAGTGTTCACAAGAAATTGTGGACGATGGACAGACGGACGGACGGACCGGCCGACCGACGAACGGGGACGACGGCAATATACGACCACATTTCCATGTGGGTGTATTAAAATGATAATCAAGGCTAAGCCTCAAATTCAATCGCTAAATTCTTGGTTCAGAGTGGATCAATTTGACTGAAAATGTCAGATTTAGCTCTTGCATAATGTCAAAATTCCCTCGCAGATAATAGATGTCAGAAGTTTCTGGTTAGTAGTAACTGTGATGGTCAGAAGAAAGAACCTTCACTCAAACACTGGTTATTGTCAACAATAATTATTCTGCAAGCATAATACATCACTTTTACATTATATCACAATCATAGGCAACAAGTTTTGTTGTCATCTGTATACAAGTGGTACAATAAGCACAAAATATAATCTCTGAATATATAATTCACTGAAACACTTGAAAATACTATATAATTTAAAGGAGCATCATAGGAGATTAGATAAAGAGAATATGTTGAAAATTTCAGTCAAATTGTGTAGCACCATGGGCCTTTCTGTCTGACGTGGAGAGCGGACAGGTACTAAAACCGGCTGCCAAATCCTACGTACGAGTCGTACGACCCATGTATCTTTTCTTACTACATATCTTAGTAGCCTTGTGATCGTCTAGAATTTGTCTCTAGCTGTCTTTGCTTCTGCTTCACGCTGTGTATTTACTTCTTCCTGTTTTCTTAAGACGTTTGTCTTCTCAGTAGTTATAACAATGCAACAGTTCGTTTTTACATTTTATATAGCATAGCTGGATACATGGATACAGGCATAATAAAATAAAGTCATTCTCAACACTAGCCAGCCAGGCTCGCTGGGCGAGTCTGCTGATAGAAGCTGTTACATCTTTTCCCTTCTAGACCCAAGCTGCTGTCTAGGAACTCAGATGGAAATTCTCTGGAATCTAATGGAAGTCTGTCTCACAGAGTCCCAAGGTTTCTTTTATAGGCATATGAATATCATGCATAACTAAGTGTGATCATGGCCCTGAACCTGTGCCATTAACGATATGATTGGTTAAATTAAGCCAAATGATGCAATAGGTAAATTTCCATGCACGTGATATCTCGTGGTATTTTATAGACACATATTTTGACTATATTATAACTCTTTTTATCACTTAAATCACTTTACATTAAATCACTTAACATTACTTGAAATAAATTTGAACCAGTTTACATACCTTCCGCTTTTTCCTTGCTTTTGCTTCTGCAACTTTTTTTATTGGTTGGGCATCGATTGCCTTCATCTTGAGTTTATATTCTTCAATTTCAGCCTGATTTAGATAAAACAAAACATGTTTAAAACATCATATGAAAATATGCAAAAAAATTTTCTCTATGTCAATAAATGGATTTCTTGGTCTACTGTAAGCCCATTCTTACAACAATTATAATCTCATTGTTAAATCATTTATCAAAATATATTCCTTTGACTCTATATTATGAAATCTCAAGTACATGTATGAAGTTGGAGGAATAGAAATTGCTACTTAAAGCAATTCTCTCTTATGTCATATTTTCTTTTTTCATATTTTACTACCCTCAATTTTTATTTTACTTTACCACACTCAATTTTACATGGAACATCTAATAGGTTCATCACTGCATCATCTTCTAATTGTGTACTGTTAACAGCCAATGAAAACAGCTTTTCTGATCAATCCATGGCACTTACAATGATCAGCTATCTGTTAGATCTTATGTAGTGTAGAAAATCTGATGAAGTGAAATAAAGATTGTTTTATTTGTATTAAATAGCGATAACTCACCTTTGTTACTGGTAGTTGTCTTTCTGTATGTTTAGCTTCATCTTCCACAAACCAAGATGGCAGATTTTCATCATCAAACATGTATCTATAAATATATAAAATAATTTTGATTTCAAAACTACATTGCTAAGTTCTTTAATGGTTTTTATTATAGACAAATAACTTGTTAAAGTGTAACACAAGGCACAGCTACATTAGTAAAGTTTCCACGTTTTCTACTCTGAACAATTTTTAATATAGTTTACTGAGTGTATAACTACCACTCAACCCGATTATCGTCGATAATACGCTGGGTTTATTAGGTAATTAAGTGATCAATGTATTTATCGTGTTATACCGTCTATAGTATAAACCTACCTTGATTTAACTACTTAATCTGCCTTGATTGACTGACTTAATCCTTTGTCGGACAATTCATCAATCTAATCTTAAACAGAAGTCATTGCTTTCCTTTTGTCGGACTATTCATCAATTCAATAAGAATGATTATAAACCTCGTGGTTTCTCATTTGTCGGGCATCTTAATCGCATTGATGTGAGCCAACATCATCTATAATAAACTAATCATAGATGTCACATATCGTAAGAGTAAATAACACCCTAAATCAATGGACAGTCATTTTGTCTACGATATCTTTTACGTCTTTTAAGAATCCATATAGAAATTCTCATCCACAGTGGCACTTTCCCTTGATCTCGAGCGCGGCACGAATATTGCTTAACATATTATTAGGCAGTGCTTACTATGAAGCCGTGTGATGAGTCACGTAGGCTATTAGTCTCTATTATCCAGAAAAATATTCTACGAATATGTTGAAGACTAGGAGTTTCTGGGTGACCGAGACTAGTACGCACCCAGCAAAATAACAAAAAGGGGAGGGGCTACCAATAGCTATATGAGCAGAAATTCTTACGTATTTGTAGGCGTCAATCATTCTGCTGTGTTGCCTATGATGCCTGTCACTCTGTAGTGACTATCAAAGAGTGTTATTCGCTGAAGTTAGCTATGCCTGTTTACAAGTGATTTAACTATTTCGGAAGTTCTGCATTCATTTTCTGCCGTATAAACGAAGACACGTAATTCTAAAGGAATATTATGGTTATCACGAAAATGCTTAATTTTGTAGGACATTTACTGACATAAATTTGAATGCCGTACGGGAATTAAGTGTGAAAAATAGCGAGGTCACCAATTTTTATTACGTACAGGATTTGAATATTTTGTTGACATGTGGTTTTTAATTGTGGTATGAATTGAATACTGTACGGGAATTAAATATGAAAAATAGCGAGGTTCACCTATTTTTAATACGTACGGGATTTGAATATTTTGACATGTGACTTTTAATTGTGGTATGAATTTGTCTGCTTAAATAACGATAAGAGTTATGCCCCTTTATTTTCGGTAAAATGTCCGACAAGTAAAATTTTGAAATCCCAACACTGCTACATAGTGCGATAAAAAAAAATAAAATGAAAAAAAAAAGGTATTATACACATACGTGACTAACATATACATCATGCACTAATGAAACCTACAAGCATTAAATAAATACTATATGTACATACCTATGATATGAATCATCAATAATATCTCTCTTCTTTTTACGAGATGAAACCATTTTAGCACCAATGGCTAACCCAACAGCATCTAACTTTAAATCTAGAATATCAATTAAATGAAATGGGGTTTAATTTAACATCCTACTTTTCTGTATCAAGCAGGCAAAAGAAGACGCAGTGTGCTATGAAGAAAATTTTGTTTGGGCTGTAGCATTTCCACATACTCTTCTTCGAATTCCAAGTACTAAGTGATCTTTTAAATGCCTGGTTTTCCATCCCATTGAAACTACTAGATGCTTTTGCTTCTCTTCAAATTTTGGCTTTATCTAAAGACAAACCTTCCAATGAAGACAGGGGGGGTTGGATGGCTGAATGGTTAGCTTGCGCGCGCTGTATCATAAAGTCTGTCATTGAGTCGACTGGCGAATTATGTAAATAAAATTAAACCATATGTTAGTTCCGAAATGACCTAGTTTGTGTCGAGTGGACGTTAAACCCCATTTTTCTCTCTCTCTCTCTCTTCAATGAAGACAGATTGTCTCCCATAACAAATCAGTGAAATAAACAACTTTAAATTTAAAAGTGATCTAGCCATTTACAGCTATTGGTATCTTATATTGGCTTAGATGGAAAAAAAAAATGTTATAATCTCAAAAATCTATTGCAGTTGTATATTGTCATGAGCATTACTTTGAGATATGTATAATACTGGGAGGGTGATGTATCTTAATACCCCAAATGTAGAGCAATAATCACCTTCAGCAGGAACTACTTCAAAACCATCATTTTTTACAGCTTTATTTTTTATCTTTGTTTGTTTTGTAGTCTCTCCATTTACTGCTGTAGTTGAAGTTAACTGATTCATTTCCATTTCATCATAATCTGAATCTGAGTCTGAATCATCTCCATCTGATGAGTCTGACTCATCAGTATCTTCTACACCGCTATCATTAGCTATATTACTATCTTCTTGTTTTCTCTTCTTTGATGGTTTATCTTCATTTTCTGTTGTTTTCTTCCTTTTTTCACTCTTCGTTCCATTTTCTAGAAAATTAAAATGAAATAAAATTGTGTTTATTGTTCTAGTTTTCTGTACCAACCAGACTAATATTGATGGGTAGTGTGCTATGAGGCAAACTTTTTCCTGGACAGTAGTGTTTTCAACTAATTTTCATCCAATTCCAACTACCAAAGGTTCTTTTACGTGCACGCCACCCAGGTGGCCCTACACATTTCTTCCCTGCCAAATGATTAGATACTTTATCTTGCCAGACCCTATATCCTACACTACTGATAATGTGAAACCAGAATCAAACCGGGGATCTCGTGGCTTTAAGCCAGCATACTCACTGAGCCAAATTTGCCCCTTTTTTCTGTTACACAGTTGACTAAACATTAATAGATGCCAATGAGTTTCATTGTTCAACGATCAGTAAAGAAAATCATATTGTAATAAGAATATTATACCTAATATAGTTCCACCTTTCTTTTTATAATCTGATACCATCTTGTCTAATTCTTCGTCTTCCTCATCTTCTTCACCAATATCAGCAAATGATTCCTTCAATATAAACACATTATACAGTAGAACTTGTATTAAGCAAGCACCCAAGGGAAATTTAAAAATGCTTGCTTAATGGAGGTGCTCTTTGACTAGAGGTATCCAATATTGCCCCAACCCCTACCTCAAAAAATAAAGATATAGATTGCATATATTTTTTTATTCATGTAGTATAACAATAACAATACATGTAATTTTTATCTAGTTGTGAATTCAAAGTAGTCGTGTATACATGTTTTATGTAGTTGTGAATTCAAAGTAGTCGCGTATACATGTTTGTTTAGTAATACTGGATCTCTGCCCCCCCCAATATTTCTTTTACTTTCATCATAGCGTCCAAAAGTTCTATATTGTCACTGTCTTTTGATAACTGTATCACTTTGACACGTTCTTCAAGTGTCAAAACTTTTCGAATAGATGTAAGAACTTTACGAGGTGTAGTAATATTAGACATATTGATAAACAATGTCTTATCAATTCAGACTCTTTCTTATATATCATGATTGGCTTGGATATGAATAGAATATTGATTAATGGTTAAAATTATAAGCTTGGGGTGTGAGTAAACTTGTTAATTAGTAATAGTTAGTTCAAGCCAAGCGAGTAAATCGTGTCAAGATTAGTGACAGTTCAGTCTCGTTCGCTCAAGCGAGAACGTGATTCTCCGAGATTCACTATGATATGTGGATGAAATAGCATGATCTGGGGCTAATATAGATGCCTGTTGCACGCGTTGAACAGGTGCGTGTTTAGTAGGGGTTAAATTACTTAAAAATTGCTTGGGGGGGAATTTTTTGGTGCTCGTTGAAGCAAGTGTTCGCTGATTAGGAGTGCACGCCCGAGCAAGTTCTACTGTATATTAAAACAATTCACTGATTTGGGAATGTCAACAATGTCCACACTAGGGTTCTTGTTTTGATCATATTTGTCAGTATTCACAATAACAAGTTCATAAATAAACAGGCAACAAGTTCAAGTTTAAGCAAAATGTTAAAACGATAGTTAAACAATAGTTAAACAAAGGTATTAAATCAGCTAAACAAACAAGAGCATCGCTACCCCTGCAATATACATCCACATTCATGGGAGTCAAGAGATGCACCAAAATAAATAATTGTTGTCCTTACATTATAACTATAAGGAATAAATATGCAAAATTCCAAGATGATCCATTCAGAATTGCAGTCTGTAGATGATAAACACAAAAATTGGGCGTGGCTCGGTCCCTGGGGGTTACATGTGGAACAATATAAATAGGTACAACCCTATGATGAATCATGCCGAAATGGATCCAAATCTATTAATAATTGCAACCTGTAGATTATTTACAGACAAAATATTAACAAAAAGTGTGTGTGGCACCGCCCAAGCAGGACGGATCATGCACCAAAATCAATAGCTGCTGTCCTTAGGGTATGGAATACCAAATTCCAAGATAATCCATTCATCAAACAAACACAAAAAGTGGGCGTGGCAATGCACAAAAAACAATAGGAGCGGTCCTTATAGTATAAGGAATAAGTATGTAATGTTTCAAGACAATCAGTTAAGAATTTCAGCCTATAGGAGACACAGAGACACACATACACATACAGACTCACATACACACAGACAAGGGAGACGGCACTATATTCCAATCATTATTTAAGCAGACAGATTCAGATCACAACCAAAAATTATGTCAACAAAATATTCAAATTTGTATGTAATAAAAATAGGTGCAATTTGCTATTTTTCATATCTTATTCCTGTATGGTATTCAAATGTATGTCAGATGTCAGTGAGTAATAGTCCTACAAAATTATGTGTTTTCATAATACAATAGAAAGAAAGCGTTCCGATCCGTACTTGGTTCAAATTCATGCCAGTAATATTCCTCCAAATTTCGTTTATACGGTAGCATATTAAAGCAAAACGTCCAAAATAAGAATAGTTTGTGATGTAGAAACATCATTTTCTTCTTTATATGGTAAGCGATGATTTCCGTGTGACATCGAGATTGCAGAAAAGTGCTACAGTAAATGGGAATTGCTATATGGAATCTTAAAAGATGTAGTTCCATTACAAAAAATAAGTTAAAAGTTTAATAGCTAATGATAGGCAGCGAGTCGTATGGATACATTTTGCGTATATGTACGGAATATTTTGTTTTCGCTGAATGTAAAACAGTCAGCAAATCAAGGCAGATTAAGTAGTTAATCAAGAGAGAGAGAGAGAGAGAGAGAGAAATGGGGTTTAACGTCCACTCGACACAAACTAGGTCATTTTGGGACTAACATTTGGTTTAATTTTATTTCAATAATTCGCTTGCACATAGGGGTCTTTAGCTGTGGGAGGAAACCGGAGGACCCGAAGAAAACCCACGAGGTTGGACAGGCGACCCATAGTTAATCAAGGTAGGTGTATAGATGGTATAACATGATAAATACTTTGATCATTTCATTACCTAATCCATCTAGCCCATTATCAACGATAATCAGAATGAGTAGTAGTTATACACTCAACAGTTTTGGAATTTTGAATATTCGCCATATCTTTATGTCTGATTGAGCATATCTATGGTCGGAAAATAGAGTAGGACATGTCCAGAATATATGGGCGAAATAGCATCAGCACGTTTAATGTCTGACTTATCTGCACCTACTGGGCTAATGAAGCTGAGCATCGCCATACAGTGTGCTATGAGGGAAATTTTGCCCTGACAGCAGTGCTACGGCCCACTCTTACATTGAATTCCAACTGTCAAGGGTTCTTTCACATGCATGCTAATATGTACACAGGGATTTCTTGACCAACACCTGGAGCGAACACTAGATCTCCTGGTTAGCGAGCCAGCGTCTTACTCACTGAGCCGCCGCGACTCCATGTATTGTGAGTAAAGTACAATGAAATTTGTATGTAACGTAGAATTACCTTACTAAACCAACTCTGTGTTTTCTGAGATACAACAACATGGGCTGGTTCCAGTTCAACAACTAATGGATTTTCTTCTTCCTCCTCATTTCTTTAAAAAAATGATATATTGGAAAATCAACTTAAAGTATAACCTAACATAACAAATTGATAGTTTGAGTGAAATATTAGTCAATTTGAAGTATTTATATCAGGTAGTTACTATTACAGTTTCTCTTAATTCTAAACTTTGTTTCATGTCTGTTCCTCAAGAGTAATTCTCCAGTATGTGGACTTTTCCTACTATAACAAAAGATAATCAAATATATGGAGAGCAAGTCATCTGATTGACAGATGTAAAGAAAACAAAACATACAGATTTTCTTTAAAAAGGCATCCATTTAAAAGTTAACCAGCTTTGAAAGAATGATCAGACTTTTTTTTTTTTTTTTATATATATATTTTACATTTAACTCCTGTTGTAAAAGCTATATATTACATTATATTTATAGTCATTCACACTTAGTACCATTAAGATATTGACGTACCTATCTACAACTTCATCATTATCAGATTGATCTGAAAAATTTGGTTCTTCTTCAAATTCTAGTTCATCTGAATCAGAATCAAGGTAACTTTTATCTTCTCTTTCATAATGTAAATATTTATCTTTCTTCCTCATTTCATCCTCATCTCCATCATCACTATCTAAATCTTCCGCATCTAAATCTATATCTCGTAATTGCTGAAAATTAAAAAAGGAAGCTATTTATAAACAATTCAATAATTTTGTACAATATTGTTTTGTGACACCATGTATCATATTGTGGCTATAATCTGAATACCCAACAATAGGGCTTAATACATCTCAATTGTAACTATTCAACTGCTGTTTACAATATGAGACTGAAGACAGAATGAGCAGTTAAAAGGGAGGAAACTACTAAACTACGTAGATCCATTAAATATGAAATGAAATGGGGTTTAACGTCCTACTGTTCTGCTCCTATACTGGGCTAATGAAGACGGGCATACGCCATACAGTGTGCTATGAGGGAAATTTTGCCCGGGCAGCGGCACTATCGCCTACTCTTATATCGAATTCCAACTGCCAGGGGATCTTTTACGTGCATTCCAATATATACACGGGACCTCGGTTTTTCGTCTCATCCGAAGGACTAGACAGCTGTCCTTGTCAGGCCCTCCGTTCACCACCACTGACAAGGGGAAACCACGTCGGAAAACATTAAATATGAAAGGAAAAGCATGGGAGTAAAAGAGAGGGTCTAAGTAATAGTGATTAGAAAATACTTACATTTTTTGACTTGACTTTATCTAATTTAAAATAATTATCGTCAGTAGCAAGATTCATTTTATCAGATGGCAAAACCATTTTGGAATCCATCTTTTGTCTTAATTTGGTTTTTTGTTCTCTAATTTTCTTTAATTTTCTGAAAGAAATGTTTGAGTTTAATTCTCCATCCTTTTCTGATTTTAAGTATTTGCATGTAAACCACCATAGACATTTCAATATTTTATTTAAAGTGTTGCTATCCATTTATAAATTCTGATAGCTTTCCGTTATAAGGTAGGATAATACTAAGAATAAAAGGAAAGAGAAGAAATGGAATTTACTGTCTTGTAAATGTTATGGTTATATATTTGTTAACAACAGAGAATGATGAAATGAAATGGGGTTTAACATCGTACTTTTCTACATCGACTAGGGAAACTTTGTACAGACAGATGCATTACAGCCTACTTTTGTCAAGGTTATTTTTATATGTGCATGCCAATATGTACGTGGGACCATGTTTTTTTTTGTTCCATCTATAAAACCATGCCGGAAAATTCAGATAAACTTTCTCCCAAGCATGTAAAGATAGAAGTTATGTACAGGGTGGAATATATTTTAATATCTTCTTACCTTTTTACTTTCCGGCGCTCTTCATCTTTACAAGCAGCTATCATGGCTTGAGCTGCTTCTTCTTCATTTTCTTCTTCTACTTCGACTCTATAAACAATTAGTAAAGAAATTGTATAAAGCGCTTTACATTCCTATACAAGGCATTTTATTTCTATTTATGTAGTAGGGTAACTTTCAAGTAATGACATTAATTCTTGTCTAACCTATATTAATTCATGTGTGATAATTTGTAATGGACAAAGTCTGTGACAGGTGCCTTATGTATATCTAGGCCTGTATATTATTATAGACAAAACATTCTCAGACTTGCTAGATTTTAAGCAGTATTCAGTTCAAGCATTAAATAATGCAATTCAGAAGCTGACACATGTTCTCTAATTAACTCAAACTGCAAAATTCTCTAAATACATTGTAGTTCCTAATTAGGAATAAAGTACCAGTACTAGAAGCATTATTCTTACATTTTTTCTTCCTCTGGCTTGAGTTCATCTTCAAATTCTTTCTTAATTTTTTTTCTCCATGTTATAATATTTCTGTAATATACAAATCATTTATTTACCGAAATGAAATGAAACAGAGTTTAACGTCCTACTGTTCTGCTCCTAAACTGGGTTAATGAAGACGGGAATACAGTGTGCTATGAGGGAAATTTTGCCCGGACAGCGGCACTACGGCCTACTCTTATATCAAATTCCAACTGTCAAGGGATCTTTTACGTGCATGCCAATGTGTACACAAGACCTTGGTTTTTCGTCCTATCTGAATGACTAGACAGCTGTTCTTGTCAGGCCCTCTTTCCTGCATAACTGACAAGGGGGAACCCCGCCGGAAAATCTGGATGAACTTTCTCGGCCAATGCAGGGATCAAACACCCGACCTCCAGGCTAGAGAGCCAGAGTCTTACCCACTTAGCCACCGTGATCCTCCATTTATTTACCCATCATTGGTGATAAACTTCTTTGATTTACATCAAATGAAGTATTTAAGTGCATTTGCTTATTTATCAGTTTAAATTATGGATCACAACATCAGCTATATCTCAACAGTGAATATGTACATAAAATGTTCAACAAAGACAGATTGTCAATCCACAAAAACATGTTTAATCCAATGAAATTGAAAAATCTATTTTTGACTCAATAATTTTCTTCAACTTTTTGGAATTATTTAAGTATTCTGGAACTGATTCTGCTATCAAATGTTGAAAGCATATTTGCAGGCACCGTACACTTAATTTTCTTAAAACATACACACACAGCATTTTAATGTTATACACGACATTTTTTCAAAACTAAATGAATTGAGAATGTGCTATTCACTTACTTTATATCTTTTTTACCTAGAACTTTAATATCTTTCAGACATTCCTTCAGCTCATCTGTTGTCAGTATATGTTTTGCTATTCTTGCGTCATCTAAAACTAACTAAAATAATACGATATAAGATTTAGGGTATGAATTGTATAAACTATAATCACTATAAATGTGTCAGACGCCAACATTATTGAGAAGTAAAGCTACAGAAGGATATTTTTCAATTCGAATAATTTTGGACCTATAAGCTTTTTGGTAAGACTGTTTTTTCCTGGGCTTAGCCTAAAAATCTATATTTGACTTTTAATCTGTAATATTGGGCCCACAATTTATGTTTTATGTAATATTAAATGTTACCATGAAAAAACAAACTGAAGACAGACCAATCAAATTATCAAATCGATTCAATAGAAGTGGAAACTTGTTAGAAATTACCTCAGAGGCATCAGCTAATCGTTCCAAATAATTTTCAGCTTCAAAGAATTCTGAAACTTTTAAAGTGTGAAATAGTGTATAGTCTCCATCACGATATCCTTCACGATTTCTGCAACGAAAATTAATAAATTAGCAAATGATATGGCCTTCAAAAATTGATTGGTGAAATGATGTAATTGATCAAAAATAAGGACGAGTAAGGCCACACAAAAAAAATATTCTGGTTCTCAGGCAATTCTATTAAAAAAATTGATGCGGGAGGGCGGTTTTTACTTTTTTGTTTTTTATTTTTTCAAAATCTAGCTTGTTTATTATTTTTAAGAAACACACAAAATTATTATAAATCTAATATTTATTCAACTCTTAAAGGTCACCAGAAAAGATTCATAAATATTTTAAATAATGCAAGGAATCATGTCAACATATCCTTTCAATAACTATAAGAAAATTCCGAATGTCAACGTTACCTGCCACAGGTAAATTTCAACAGGTAGATTTCCGCCGTTCTCCGTAAGTAGTCGAAACTTTCCGCCAAGAAAAAATCTATGACGACATTTTAGTCCTTCTGCTCATATTCTAGTCTATATTTCTATAAGCAGAAGGACTAAAATTATATCACGGCTTGTGTATGTCCACTTCTAGGTGCCAAAGAACAGAGATTTAGCTCTTTTAAATTAAGTCTGCGGCCTCAATCTACCCGCACAGTCTCTTGGGAAAGACAAGGCATTCTGATAGTAGCAGATGATAACAAAAGTGTCGCCATCTTTGTGACTAATAAATTAACATTTGATTATCCAGTGCCATTCGTGATTGTTAATAGTGTTTCCCACGATTACGTACTTGATATCCGAGTCTAGTGTTCATTTCCTTTTATCAATAGAGTCACTTCCCTTGATCGTGGGAAATCTGAACAATTATTGACACGTTGGTATCTGAGATCCAGGATATTTTTTTTTGTGGCCTAATAATTTAAATGAAATGAAATGGGGTTTAATGTCCTACTTTTTGGCACCAATTGGGCTAATGAAGACGGTAATTTTGAAGCAAAATGTATGATATAAATGAATGATTAATATTTAAACACAACAAAATAACAATGTTTTTACCTTTTCTTTTTTTCTGGGTGAATTAAATCAAGGCTTGCTTTTTTCTCTTCTTCTACTTCCTTAAAAACATATTTAGCATCAAAGAATTTAGGATCCAGTTTGTCAGGGGCTAAATATCCTTGACATACAACAAATATTTCAGCCGATTCTGTTCGAGAGGCTTGTGGTTTGGTAGCATGAACATGTGCAAATAATTGTTGAAAAACCCACATTAAAGAGTTGTAGTCTTTAGAACGGAACACTTTTGTTACAAACCATCCTCCTTTTCGAAGAAATTCTGTTGCTAATTTAACAGCATGTAGTGTTAATGAAACTGAAAAGAAAAGAAATTATTAACTGCATGTCAAGTTTTATCACTGACATTACACTCGACATGAAAACAGTAATGTTTGTCTGGCCCTGTGAGTTACTCAATGGCTTGTATTACATTACTCAAAACGCAAAGCATATTGTGCCATTTATTTTTCTGTATCATGTGCTACATTAATTTTACCTTGCACTATCCTACGGGTACCCATTACAGTTGGCTAGACTAGAATACAGGGATAATGTGTTACATTCGGGGACACAAGGATCTGACACACAACTAGAGTGAGAACGAAAGTATAATTGTGTGGTTATAGATCTAGCTTGCTAATCACTATGCTGCCACCTTCCAGGGAATTCCATTAAATAGATAGGTGGAAAACAAGATACAAGTGTGTTTATTCTTTGTAGAGCATGTGATAGCACTTCTCATTGAATTTTTGTTCAAATTTTACAATTGTTTCTGGAGTGAATCTTTACGATCATTGGACACCTACTTAAACTGCAAAAGGTGTATGAATATGAATATACAAGTGGAACCTGTTTCAATGATAGGTTGTCTCTGTAACCAAACCTATCAATCCTTTAAAAAAAACTCTGTATGACTAGCTGCATGCACAACCTGACTGGTTGTAAATGAAATGAAATGAGGTTTAACGTCCTGCTGCTCTGCTCCAACTGGACTAATAAAGACGGCAGACTGTTTGCATGCAAGCAACACACATGCAGACATGATTAAAATATGGTATGCTAAAAGCTCAAATTCATATTATGTTGTGTCAGGTAAAAATGCAGAGAACTTTGCTTCTAATACACAATTCTCTAGTCATGTTTATGTTCAAAATACATTTTTTGTTATTTGCAAAACAGAACTCAATACCTTGCTGAAAAGCATCATGCAGCCAGCTTTTTCCTAAATTTGGGGCACCATCGTTCAACACACAATCAGCTTTCCATGTATGTAACTCTTTTCTTAGTGTCTGCAAAATTAATAAACAAGCATAGAATATAATTAAACTATTTATAAGATAGATTCATATATCAAACGTCTCAACTCTTACAAGTAATATGTATAAAGGTATTCAAAATCATAGAGATGAAATATATTGTATAGACTAATAACTATCCAACTTACTTGTCTGCATTTTTCTGTTGTAATGTCTTCCTGAAATGTCTTGCAATTTTTAATTGGCTTGATTGACACCAAATCCACACCTAAAGCAGAATAAAATCATTGGGGATATATACAGTGGGTTGAGCTCTGATCCATACAAAAATGTGTGTATAGTATTGTAAACCCAAAATGTTACAAAATCTTCACCGATGGGGAGCTTTATAGGCCTACCTTTAATAATGCAATAATAAACATTGTCCCTCAACCCCAAACAATATGTTCTAATGATTTTGTAGGCACATAGTTTAACTTTATTTTGTCTCATCTAATCTTATCTAAGGTAAAGAATTTTACATAAACAAATTATGTTTTACAAAACATACCTAAAATGATACTGGATATAGGTGTATTCTCTGAAACCACCTGAAGCCATCCTCCTGGTGCAGCACAAAGATCTATTACTACCCGTGACTTCTGTAAAAACTCAAACTTTCGATTCAGCTGAAGCAATTTAAAAGAAGCTCTAGATCTGTATCCTGAAAAACAAAACTCAAGTGTTAGTTTTGAAAAATAAACAAGATACAGTACACTATCTGACCAAACTTTGATAATGTTTGATAAAGTATAACTAGACAAAATTTGACATTCAAAATTGGAGTAGTGTTCTATACTTACATTATCACCACCTGTCACTATCTATGGCTGCAGATGCTACACGCATTAATAAACAAAGTCAGATGGATTGATCTCAACGTTTTTAGCGACGTACCTGAGCTAAATTCTACCTACCATTCTAAAATAGTGTATATGACTTGACAGTTAGAAGAGTTATCCTTATATTTGAAAGTTGTTACAGTAAATGGAGTTTGAAGTAAAATGGTCTATTTTAAGGCCATTCCAATAAAGTAATTATGATTAGTGGCGAGTCTAAACTTATTTTGAATATGAATTATGTAATGCATGAACGACTACTATTATGGTCTATAAAAAAGATAGGTTGACAGACAAACGAAAATTAAACCCACAGCAGCCAGTTCACAAGGCAAGAAAAACTAAATCTTTAGACTCTATAATATCATTGGCGTGTTAAAAATATTATATGTAGGATGGCAATAATCAGAAATAGTTGAAATTAAAAAGGCTTCAAAAGGCATAGCCATAGAACTTCATTTGGCTAATCCTAATTAAATTAGATCGAATAATAATATAAGGCGTTTTTATCGACCACTGATTAGCCAAAGTGATTTGCATTCAATCAAATTTTCATCTTTAACGTCCATCTAATTCAAATTGGTTGCCCTAATCCACGAATTTATCGACACCGATTTCCGAAGCGATTACATCAAATCGCCAAATCACTTCAGGGTACGATTTGATCGGGTGATCACGTGGTTTTTTTCAACTGTGTCCAGCCACAACAATTGTTTACAGCTAATCAGAGAATTTAACGAACTCGCCAAAGTACTTTGAAATCGACTATACTGTCACATGACATCTCCACTAAATTCAAATCGATTTGGCAAGTCGATAAAAAAGCCTATAAATTATAATACATCAATCAATCAATCTCATGGGATGATAAATTCTGCTTTTGTTGTTGGTGATTTCACAAAAATGTACAAAAACGCCCTTCCAAAAGAAACATTTTATTTTTCATATTCTGTAGTGGATGTAATAATTGAATTTTTTTTGTTTTGTTTATTTTTAGGTTTTTTTTTGCAGATGTTGACTTTGAATCCCTTCTGGATTCTCTATGCCATGTCCATCTTCAAATTTAATATCTGGATAGCGATATTGCCTCTTATCCATATTCGACACTTGAATTCATGAATTACCTGTCTCCTTTGCTAATTGATAAAATTTATCCTTCCTCGCTTTTCCAACTTTGGGCTTTTTACCCATTTTAGGTTATTATTCTTTGGGAAATTCTGTTATTTACAATTGAACAAAACCACATGGCAAAAAGGCAATGTTAAGTACGTCATCATTTCTGGGCTTCCGGTGACGTAGAAACCATGTGCAATAGTTTCCGCATGGCGGTGGTCAGAACATATTGAATCTTAAAATTAGCTACTTTGGTTGGTAATTTAAGTATTTTGTTCGTAAGATATGGTATATTTATTTAGATAGTCCTTAAATTAATTACCCAATATATGATAAATATTTATATTTATGGCTGTAATTGAAGTGGACACGTTTGTTTCTTAGGTTATGCCGTCTTCATTAGCCCAGTCGGAGCAGAACAGAAGGACACTAAATTAGGCTAGTGACTAAACCCTATTTCATTATTAGGTTATGAGTTTTATGACAATAGCCTATAGTATTTTACTAATTTCATTAGGCTATCTGCTGGCAGGAGGCTACAATAACTTTTTTTTTAAGAAACCACATCTCTCAACACATCACAGTATATCTCGGCGTTTTTAGCTAGGTTCTCGAAGCTAGTACTGTAGTAGTAGTAGCAGGCTGCAACCCTGCAGGAGGCCTACTCTCTCAGTCTCTGGCTACTTTACAGGGCTTAGTTCAGCTCTGAACGTAAGTTCTCGTTCCACTGCCCTGTACGTTCGGGAACTGGCCTCTTGATTCCTTGTTGAAAAAATTTCAGTTCTCAGTAAATCTTACTGGACAACCATACGGTCGCGTGGCAGTCCCTGTGAGTGTGAACTCATGCACAATGTAAAGGAACATTTTAGTGAGAAAATAAAACCTTGCTTACCTCACCCGAGTCAGTATGTGTGACACAACATGCCATTAAAAATATGTCGCCTTCTGCTACACAGCTTTGCAGACACCATTAAAATCTAAATGTAGGGTAAAGCATAAATTTATGTAACTCAGTCATATATGACAAAACAAAATTTAGGTCCTGTGTACACATTGGCATGCATGTAAAAGATCCCCTGGCAGTTGGAATTCGATATAAGAGTAGGCCTCAGCGCCGCTGTCCATGCAAATGGTGTAAAAGTATGTAATACCAAGGTTGTGGACCCTCTAGAGGTCAGAATTTTTATCTGATTTTGATGAAATTTAAAATATATATTTATATATCAGAAATTTCGATTACTTTTGATATTCACGCATATCGGCCCATATAGCTTCCTGGGTTATGTCCCCAGGTTGTACAAAAAATTGCTTTTTTTTTTAGCTTGTTTTCTGTCTATCCCTTGCAAAATGTGGGCGTATCTTCTGCATTGCAACCACTTGTTTTTTTATGGTAATGGGTTGTACATTTTCAAATCCATGTTTCTTAAGGTAGCACGATTTAACCAAATCTACCAAAATCTACCATTTATTTAACTCTTATCACAATAATTTCTATCTGTTTGATGAGTATTTTCTGCTTAGACTAAGCAGCTATCTGTCTGGTTGTCACAACTTTTGAAAAACAAAAACTCTGCTTCTTATTGAGGACAGTATGTTCAAACTTGATGTTTGTTATGTGAATGTCTTGACTGAGCTCGATGACAAACATTTTCAGTTTATGGAACTGGGCTTCTAATATGATTTGGATTTGAATAATAAAAGTGCTTCAATTATTGCAGGTGGAAAACTTAAAGCATCAACATGTCCAGATTCTTTAAAGCAGGATCAGATTCTGAGAGCGAAACCGAATCAAGTGAAGATGATGAAATCTTGCAACAAAGACCTTCAGCAGCTCCAGTACAAAGGTTATTTTATTCATATATTGTCTACACATAGCTATCTTACTATAGATTTAAAGTACAAATGTAAGTAGTGGCTAACCTGATCAGATTTAGGTCAAGTGAAATATCCCTCTGTGATAAATTGAATGGTTCACATGCAGAATTTAATGCTTAACCTATATCAAGTAGAATCTTTCGTATATATGGTTTAAAATAATTTGTGCCACTTTGATGCCAATCCCTCGGCATTTAGTTGATTAATTTGTCACCCATCACAACTCATTTAAAAAGATCAGATTGCATATCAGTAGACCCATTCAGATAAAATGTCTGTTTTGGGGGGATAAATATATGCCAAAGAAACATTATACTATGAATTTCACACAATACTTTTCTAAGTAGCTGTGATTGTTTTTAGTATGAACAAAAAAGATTGGTAAATATATAGGAGACACACAAATTGATTTTGATAATACAAAATACAACATGTCTTAACTCTTGAGATATATATCTTTCAGTCGAACGTTTCAATTTAGTGATGATGAAGATGATTCAAGAAGAATTGTCCGAAGTGCAAAAGATAAAAGGTTTGTTTGATAAATATTGTTTTATAATAGTTTGCTTTACAATACAACATATCTTTGTTCTAGAAAAATATTTTCTTATTTACATAAATAAGGATGATGCACACAAGTTGGATTTTTCAAGTGACGACTGTCCTAAACTTTAAATGTTTTTATGCCAATGTTCGAAGGAGACTTCAATTTTTTTCACCCCAAATTATTAGGTTTATTTGAGAGATTGATTTTACAATTTTCAGATTTGATGAGATGACGAATATTATACAACAGATGAAAAATCATAAACAAATTAAAGATATGGCTAATGTTTTGAATGGTAAGTCTATATTAATGTATTCAATTCCTTTAGCTTGATGCTGAAACAGTAGGAACTTTTTTCTGGTTGAACACTAATTTTGATATCTTTAGAGTGCATGGTTTTTTCTTGGTATGGGTATGTGTCTTCAGATCGTTCGTAAAAAACGGCTCTACTATGCAGAAAATGTCTTTTACTTTTAAAATCAATCTTTGGAATGAGACAAGCTTTCCTCTCATTCCACATATAACCACGTGACATTATGAAGTTGAACCACATGCCATTTCATACTATTCAGGAATAATATGTGTTGTCACAATCTTTGAAGATGGAATTTATTTGTGAAAAAGGGAGAGAAAGAGAGAAATGGGGCTTAACGTCCACTCCTCAACACACACTCGGTCATTTCGGGACTAACATATGGTTCAACTTTATTTAAATAATTCGCTTGCGTGTAGGGGTCTTGAGCAGTGGGAGGACCCAGAGAAACCCCATGAGGTTGGACAGGCGACCCTACTCCTTGTCACCTACAACTGGGGAATCGAAACCACGCCAGTGGACTCAATGACAGTCCTTATGATACAGCGCTTGCACTAACCATTTGGCCATCCAACCCCCCTTTGTGAAAGAATTCATTTGTGAAAAAGATAAAGATATTATAAGCAATATTCTATTTTCGCAGATTTTGAAGCATTGATAAAAGCTGCTGATAAAGCCAAGAAGGTTATTCAAGAGGAGGGAGTACCACGATTTTTTATTCGTTGTTTATATGATTTGGAAGAGTATGCAAATGAGGTAGAATATACATTTATTAAAATCATATTGATCTGGTGACTTCTGTTCTGTTAAGTCTTATCTTGTTGTTCAGATTGACGTCAAGTCAAAGTTTACACATTAGATTGCACATGAAAGAAGCCATAACAGTATAAATTCGTTAAAGAAAAACTGCTAACTCTGCAGTCTGGGCAAAATCTACTTCAGCCTTGCACAAAAAAATAATCATATCCAAGTATTGCGTTAGTGAGACATTAAGCTGCATTTGTTTTCCTTTACTTTTGATCAGTAGTCTATTTCACTTAAAGATTAATACAGAATGGCAAAAATTAGAACATGCTGAAAAGCATCCCACAAATTCCATGTTCGAGAATGAATTAGGAACTGTAGTTTTTTAAAAATGTTTTATTACTAGCCACTATCTATTCTCTATGTTAACAGCATACCAGTAGACCCATTCAGATTATTTGTCTGTTTGGGGGGATTTAATGTATGCAAAATGAAATTAATTGAGTAATTTTCATGGTGCTTCATATAGTATCTCTGGTAAGAAAATACTCAAATGACACAAAGTCTTAATTTTTTGGAATATATGTTATTTGTTTGACAATTTATTACCATTGTTTATATTTGTTATATTACCTAGTGTTGGGAAGACAAAGAATGGAGAAAGTCCATCAGCAAAAATAATTCTAAAAGTTTTACATCACTCCGTCAAAAACTAAAGAAATACATCCGTGAAAAATATGAGAAGGAAGTAAATGATTATAAAGAGGTGAGAAATATGTACAGTATATATAGAATTAGTACAAGTACATTTATATTATCATTGTTAGTTACACAACAAGAATCACCTTTAATTTTAGATATATTCTTATTGTAATTAGATTCAAGTTGGTTTTTTTTATGCATGGCTCTTGCAGAAAAATGAAAACAAGAAAGACACCAATGGCTGCTATAATAACAATTCTGGGTGTGTGTTGTCTTAAGTTTATAAATAGATAAGTCTATCACTGATTTGTTATAATGGTTTTTTTTTTTAGAATCCTGATCAAGGTGATGATGATAAAAGAGATGAAACACCTGCACCACAAGGTAAGTAATAGGATGTCAGGACTTGCCACGAGGAAAATGATGGCAGTCAATTAAGCTATCACGTAAAATTAAGCTTGTGTTAGTATGGCGGGTGGTTAAATTTACTTACGCAAATTTGCTTTATGTAAGCAATAGGCTTCTTACCAAAACCGCAGATATGTTGTCTTGGCAACGATTACCACAAAACCTTAACCACAAATTCTGTTTGATTAAATGTTTGAACCAAATATTGGAAATGTACATAATTTTTTAAAATTAAAAAGAAAAAATCTATTTGAGTTATATCGAGGCCCGAAGATGGTGATAAACCCAATTATTTACCAATTTAGACCAGTGAGTTTGAAATATGCCCCTATAGCCAATGGCTACAAATAAATTAGTGACCTCCCTGACATTGCATGCTGACAAAATCTGATGTTCTCATTGGTCAATACAGATTAGAAAGTGACGTAATTGTGACAGACAACACATTGATTGACAACATTGGAATCTCCAGTCAATGTGTGTGTACAGCGACTGTGACAGCAAATCTTTCAGTTTCACAGTGTGTTTTGTAAAAATGATAATTAATGACCCATAAAGTAACAAGTTTGGTAACAACTATCCATTGGACGATGTGCGTAAGCGACTATCTACTAGCTCAATATCAAGTTTACATGCACACAAGTGATCGTTCTCGTCTTGTGGCAAGTTCTGAGATATTAAACTCGTTTTGTTTGAAAATTGGTGCTTTTTGATTGTCCTGGTCTGTTTGGGCATGTCTAGTTTAGTGGGCCAGTCCTAAATAGAAACGGTATTAAAATTTGGTGGTGCTCAATGCTCATCGATTTTTCACAGTTACTGCCCCTTCTGGTGAAACCTCATTAAGTCGGAATATTTAAGACTCCTGAGGAGGAACCCAGTCAAAATTTATTCACTCACCAATTTTATGTTGTGCTATTGCTCATGACCCCGAAACTGGTTGGGTATACATTTTCTACCTTGCATGGTTATCTTTCCAATTTATTTAGTTTGTCTCAAAATAATTTTGTTAAATGATGGACTTAAAATTTCTCAATCGTTAAAGATATTCTTGCAAAAACTTGTCATGTATGTGCATTTAAAAAGCTTATTTTTGTTTTGTAATTAAGATGAAGAATCTGAAGAAGATGAAGTGGATGTACCTGTTAAAGCGCCTGTTATTAAACCCAAATTACCTGCACCACCTGTTATTAAAAAACAAGTAAGTTTAGTCACACATCTTAACATTAGTATTAGATATATGATAACACAGAATTTTTGATGAGGGATGCACAGAATTGACTGTCAAGCATCCCAAATTGACAGAATTTCAATCCATTGGGGTTGGTCGTAGTTCTGTCTTGAGTAAAATTATGTTCTTATCTGATTTGCCACTCCTGAACAATTTGTTAAAACCATGATATGAACTTTCGACTCTTTGGGCAAGCGGATCTACCCAATATACCGATATTAACTAAATTGTCACTATTTGGAAGATTATGAAAATTTAATATCAGAATATTTAGACTCATTGAATAACAGAATGTTCAGACTCGTATATCTCGTAAAAAAAAAAAAAAAATACTTTGAACTGAATTTCTAGTTTAACTGACATGGTATCAGCTTAATATATTTAGAATTTAGATGTAAATGTAGATAGATTGACAGAAAAATAATATTTGACTGAATTTTACAGAGTGAGTTATTACCCAAGTTTACTGATGATTTTTTTGTAGCTACCTAAATCTATGGATGATGATGACGATGATGATGATGATATTGATTGGGGTTCATCAGATGATTCTGTAGAATCTGATATTGATGATGAACAGTTTGATACTGGTAAACTTACAGCTGAATATTTCTTAAAGAAGTAAGTTAATATTGATCTGCCTTAAACTTGGGGGGGAAAAAGTATTCTCATGGCTGTAACCACCCACTTGTGATAATATTCTGTTTCTTTTGCAATGGAAAAAACACAACTTTTTATAGTCACAGTATGTAACATATTTGTGTCCTTTATAACCCATTATAAAAGGTTTATGAAATTATCAAGTTGATAATTTTTTTGAAAATACAATATTAATGATTACATTTGACTTTAGATCTGATTCAGGCACATCCAAAAAGGAAAAGAAGCGTAAAGAACCAAAACAAACGAAATTAGAAGAAACTGATGAGGAAGGAGATTGGGAAGAAGTTAAAGGCGGTGCCCCATTGATTATGGTAAATATTGTCTTCTATTCAAGATCCAGTAAGATCTTCTTTGTAAATGTTGTTCAAAAGTTACATGGCTGATCAGTTGGTTATTCTAGTTGATTAATCATCATTCATTATGTTTCTGCATGATAAACATTTTAATACCTGTATTAATGTTCTGTATTTGTGTTTACAGTGATTTAAATATGAGATATTATAAATCGATGTCCTGTATATTTCTATTAAATAGGAACGACCTAAAATGTTTGGTAAAGATCAAGAAATCAATGTGGATGCTGTTTTAAAGAAGTTGTATGAAATAACATCTGCTCGTGGTAAGAAAGGAACAGATAGAAATGAGCAGATTGAACTATTAAAAGAATTAAGAGAAATTGCTGAAACTAATACTCTTGGTCTTGGTATAGATGTAAAACTGTACTTTAATATCATTGGTGCCATCTTTGATTACAATCCCAATACATTAACATCTATGAGAAATGATGTCTGGGAAAGGTAGGAAATTTTGTTATTTTAATTTATGGTTTCAGACAGATCTATTGATATTTTTTTTAAAATTATTCCATTAAACATTAATAATTGATATATTTTGGACACATTTTAAAGAAGTATGTTTGAAAAAAAACCCAGGAAAACTTGTGATGCTGATTTTACTGAATTATTTGTAAAAAAATGGACAAGATATTTAAGTGGTGGATGTGAAAGACTAGTGATGTTGATGAGATGTTAAGATAGATATATTATATATTTCAGTTGTTTGAGTTATTTACAAACTCTATTAAACATATTGATTGATCATCCAGAAGTTAATGTTGGTGAACATATAAAAGAAGATGATGAGAATCTCACAGTAAGTGATTGGTTTTATTTATTAAAGAGTCCGTCAAAACAATCATCCATCTTGAAGTTCACCCAATCCCAGAATGCTCTAGGACTAAGGCCTTTCATTAACAAGGGAAACAACTCTATATACCATAATGGTTTTAAGAAAGTGTCAGACCACATTTAACCAATTAGTATTAATTTTCTTTGTAAAAGTAGATTAGCGAGCAAGTAATGGGGGATATATAAATATATATAACAGTACAAACATGACCAAATGACATGTTGTAGTACAAAGTTATTTATAACATGTGTTTGCTAGCTTTCATTGCGGATTATTTTTAGTAAATATACTTAACTGTGTTAAAATGTAATTTGATTCTCGGTGTATTTACACTTTAGCATCACAATTTTATTTTCAACAATGATTTGATGTAATTTGAGATCAAGTTAAGTATAATTATTTTATAAGTGTCATTGCCTCTAATTAAAACTTCCTTTTCTCATCAATATGCATTTTTTCTCATTTGAATTTTATGCGAATGCTCTAATATTGTTATTTAATTAAAGGAAGCACCACTTTATGTACGAGGCTGTTTTTTGACATTAGTGGAAAAAATGGATGAAGAATTTACCAAAATGTTACAAAGCTGTGATGCTCATAGTACTGAATATGTTGAAAGGTAAGATTTTGGATCAAAAAAGTTTATTTCTGAATGGAGTAGGAATGGATGTGTGGGGATATCTTGTCAACTTGTTAAAATAAAATCTTGGAATAAATTGTCCCTTGATCATGTCCTATCCATATAAAGTTATTTTCTTCTGTGTTGCTAATAAATTAAATTAAATCCTGCAAAATTACATCTCCTTACGTATCAGGAATAAAATGGTAACAATAACAGTTTTCATTAATCATTCATTTCAGATTACAAGATGAACGTCAAGTTTGTGATATATTAGAGAAAACATTACGCTACCTTGAAATTAAAGGAAACACTTTGGAGATTTCTCGTATTTATTTGAAGAGAATTGAACATCTTTATTACAAGGTATTTATATTGACATCTCTTGAAGCTAGTTGAAGAACAAACCTGGACAAAAGGCACCAGTCACACACTTTTTCAGAAACAAATTATCACACAACGTACATATTATAACATACACATGTTATAATTTGTGTCTGACAATGTCTGTGACGATACCTTTTGTCCACCCTTGTAGATATAGAGGGTGTGATAATTTGTACTTGCCAAAGCCTGTAACAAAGCCTGTGACAGGTGCCTTATGTCCAAACTTGTTGAAAACTATTTTAATGGTGAAATTTGTTTACTAGCTCCTAAAATTGAACAGCTGTAAACTTTATTATTGTATCAATAAGTTTTGATGTCCTATATATGTGTATTAATTATATTGTATGGTTGATTTATTTTAGTTTGATACATCTTGTGTATATACAGGTGAAAATGAACCAAAGAAGGTTTGTATAACTTTGAAATATTATGGGGTTGTCATCCATGCAAGCAAGGGATTGTTTTCACTATTGTAGGTGTGGAGTCGTCTGCTTATATCAGGGATTTTGAGTCTTCTTTATACAGATCATTTTATGCTAGCAAATAAAAAGCTAAAAATATAGTGTATCTTACTTAATCTCACAATGTTCACTCTGCATTAAACCTGTTTGGCATGAATTAATACTAAACTGCTCTACAAAGCAATACACATCTGCAAAACTCATAGTCTTATGTGACTTATGGATTCATTGGTTTGTTGGAGTTTGTAGCTGATCTGTATTGCACTGAGGACAAACATTCAAGATTTTTTCTTGATCTGTTTGTTGTCCCCCGCCTTTCGAAGAAAGCAGGGGACTATTAAAATGGGTTCGTCTGTCTGTCTGTCCGTCTGTCTGTCCGTCTGTCCGTCCGTCTGTCTGTCCGTCACACTTTTTGGGACACAATAACTCTCTTCCTAATTGAGCTAGAATGTTCAAACTTGGTGTATGTGTTTATTAGGTCAATGCCTTGATGGAGTTCGAAGATGAGCATTTTCCGCTTAGGGTAAGCAGAGATAAGCAATTTGATTGGTTGATGCTTTGGGACACGATAACTCTCTTCCTAATTGGGCTAGAATGTTTAAACTTGGTGTATGTGTTGATTAGGTCAATGCCTTGATGGAGTTCGAAGATGAGCATTTTCCGCTTAGGGTAAGCAGAGATAAGCAATTTGATTGGTTGATGCTTTGGGACACGATAACTTTTAATTGAGCTAGAATGTTCAAACTTGGTGTATGTGTTTATTAGGTCAATGCCTTGATGGAGTTCGAAGATGAGCATTTTCCGCTTAGGGTAAGCAGAGATAAGCAATTTGATTGGTTGATACTTTGGGGCACGATAACTCTCTTCCTAATTGAGCTAGAATGTTCAAACTTGGTGTATGTGTTGATTAGGTCAATGCCTTGATGGAGTTCGAAGATGAGCATTTTCCGCTTAGGGTAAGCAGAGATAAGCAATTTGATTGGTTGATGCTTTGGGACACGATAACTTTAGTTCTAATTAAGTGAGATTGATGAAACTTGGTGTATAGTTTCATTACAGTAATACCTTGACTAAGTTTGATAATGAGCATTTTCTGCTCAGGGTAAGCAGCAATTTGATTGGTTGATACTTTGGGGCACGATAACTCTCTTCCTAATTGAGCTAGAATGTTCAAACTTGGTGTATGTGTTGATTAGGTCAATGCCTTGATGGAGTTCGAAGATGAGCATTTTCCGCTTAGGGTAAGCAGAGATAAGCAATTTGATTGGTTGATGCTTTGGGACACGATAACTTTAGTTTAATTAAGTGAGATTGATGAAACTTGGTGTATAGTTTCATTACAGTAATACCTTGACTAAGTTTGATAATGAGCATTTTCTGCTCAGGGTAAGCAGAGCGATACGCAATTTGATTGGTCGAGACTTTGGAAAACAATAACTCTCCTACTTTGATTGTTAGACTATAAGTAAAGATATACTGTTTGATTGTTCAATACTTTGTAAAAGATAATTTGTGATAAATTTATATGTGTCCTCTAATTATTTTCCTTTTCGGCGGGGGACATCAGCCTCACTGTTGGCTTGTTTGTCAAATATTTGAATTGTATAGTCAACTCACTGGATAAAAAATGGAACATCACTGGAATAGGAATATACTGTTAACACCTTTTTGTCATTTTTCAGGAGGGTACATCTGAACAGACGATGGATAAATTGTGTAAATTTTTATACACATCTGAGACACCAGATAGATTAAGAACAAGAGCTATATTATGTCATATCTATCATCATGCTTTACATAATCGCTGGTTCCAGGCTCGTGATTTGATGCTTATGTCTCATTTACAAGATAATATTGGTCATTCTGATATTCCTACACAGGTAAGACTTTAATTATTGAACTTTTCTGTCCATTTACATTTGGGTGATTTAATACTAAATTAACCCTTTCTGAGCTAATCCCGACGATTGTCGGGATAATTCTATAGTCTGTCAGAGCGGCACCCGACGATAGTCGGGAAGTTTATTTAACTTGGTTTACTCCCCTGTAAAAGCATGGTTTTAACCTTAGATGGTGTATAACACGAGTTTTTATTACGAGGGGGTTTCCTCTATTGACGGAACAACCATCAATAATCAGAACAGCCGAGGAATGGCGTCCTTCACAACAAAAACACTTCGGCTGAATTTAGCCGTGAGACCCGATGTCTATGACGTCACGCCTATATTGGATTCGGGTAGTGACTATACTATTAGTGGGGATTCTTCTTGTGATGAAAATTCAGATGTTTGTCACAAAGTAAAGACACAAAAAAGGGAGACTTCTCCGGAGGAAATTATTCGTCTGCTTTTATACAGTCGCGCACGTAGATCGCTACCAATATAGACGTATACGATATGGTCAAATTGGTTACCATGGCAACCCTAATGTGAATATTTCGGTATATATTATTGTTATTTTCCAAATATTTAATTTATTTTTATTTTATTGTTAATAAAAACTTGTTACTGATGATTTTTATATGTGTGTTGCCTACCGCAAAATTGTCAATACTGCTCGTTTACATTTTATTATTTTTAGAAAAAAACATTATTATCACAATTTAGTGACTTTTCCCCAAAAAACCTATACTATTCTTACAAAAGAGATATCTATCATGTTAATAATCCATATAGCTTTATTCCTGACCATCTTGAATTTTTTAATGACAAGAAAATATCCAATATTTCATTTATGACAATAATATGGCAGCCATTTTGAAACACACTGGTAACCATAGTAACCATAAAATCTAAACTAAACATATGCAAAAATCTCAAGTCATATATAATGGATATACATTTGCAACTTTACAGTTGTAGTCGCATTCATATTCAAGGTATGCATGGTTTTTCACAACAGGGTCTAAAGCTTGATTTTTACTCAATATTTGCATAGCCCTCTATGGGTATGAAGTGGTTAGCTCAGGAAGGGTTAAAGAAATTAATCTGTTTGTATTAAATTATAGTAAATCTGTACAATTGATGTTTTGGTTTGTTTCAGTTGTTATATAATCGTACATTAGTTCAGCTGGGTTTATGTGCTTTCCGACAAGGTAATATTAGAGATGCTCATAATGCTCTTGTTGATATACAGTCTAGTAACAGAGCTAAAGAACTGCTTGCTCAGGTGAGATTTTCACTTTAAATTGTACTGGATGACCGTATACTGACACACAGGCAATCATTCATTCATCTGCTTAATCAGTAAAAATCTGCATATAGAAAAGAGGAAGAAAAGCTGTATAAATATTACATAACAAACATCACCATATTTATCATCATGGTTTTGAGTGTGTATTTATTATTGTAGGGTCTGTTACCAAATCGTCAAAATGAAAGAACACCCGAACAAGAGAAAATAGAGAAGAGGAGGTTATTTCCCTATCATATGCACATTAACTTAGAGTTATTGGAATGTGTATACCTTGTATCAGCCATGTTATTAGAAATACCATTTATGGCAGGTAAGTCTATATCAAATACAATATGATTTCTTTTAGTTGGCTAAATTTTGTATCCCTTGGAAATATTAAGACTTCAGTGGATGAAATTTTCAGGTTTAGAATAATATCAAGAATAATTTATATACCTATCCCTTTATTATGAAAGACCTTATCAAAATGTATAATATTTTTCAAAGATCTTGCTAAAAGTTTGGATGAAATTAAATTATTGCCCATTTCAAATATTTTATTGCACTGTCATGAATATTTTGACATTTATTAAGACCGTAATTCTTTATTTGCTCAGCTCATGAAATGGATGTAAGACGTCGAATGATTAGTAAAAACTTTCATCATGTGATGAAGATGAGTGAAAGACAGACTTTGATTGGTCCACCAGAAAGTATGAGAGAACATGTGGTAGCTGCCTCAAAATCTATGAAAACCGGAGACTGGAAAGCCTGTAAAAACTTCATAATTAATGATAAAATGAATGCCAAGGTATAGTCAACATATAATAGATGTCATGAAAGGGATATAAATATACATAAATTTATAGGCTGATATTTGTATTTCTACTAAGTACAAGTACAGATACATTGTAGGTTAAATTAAAATCTAAAGTGACTGTTGTAACTGGAAACCAGATTTGAACATTACTACTGAGTCTACCCATTTAATAATTTGTACTCTGGTACATGCAGCTTCTTTTCTCCTGGGCAGCCTAATATAAATCTTATGAATCTGTTTATTGGAAATTTATTCTCAGAAGTAGAAAATTGTGTTTGTATTTTGTAGGTGTGGGATTTATTTTTTCAACCAGATAAAGTGAGAGATATGATCACAGTGAAAATACAAGAAGAATCATTACGTACCTATCTATTTACCTATAGTAATGTGTATGATACACTTAGTTTGCATACTTTAGCGGAAATGTTTGAGTTAGATATGAGTGTTGTTCACAGAATCATCAGTAAAATGATTATAAATGAAGAACTTATGGTACGTTATCAGATACTTTATATTTGGTGTAATGAATTTCTTAGTTTTTGCTCATACTTAATGTTTTTCTTAGTTTAAAATAAATGGATGCCAATCTCAACAAACACAATAGGAAATTTTCTAGACCATGTTTGATTCTGCTTTTTTATATACCCACATTGTCGTCACCCCTGTCCGATTTCCTATAATTACTGTCTGAGTCGTTGCCCTTGATCAGTTTGGAAATCTTATTGATGCACGAGATGTGTGTGTGGACCATTTGAGACTTAAAAGTTATCGAATAACTCAAATAAAGTTTATATATCATCTGTTTTGTTTATGTAAGTGTTTTGTTTTGTGGTTTCTTTCATGTAAACCTGTAGTAACGATGTACAGAAACATGTATATAACATCCCTTTTAGTGTTATTTTCTCAAGTGATTTAAATGAAAATAAATGCACCAAAGATTAAATTCACATAAATTTGCCATCTGTCCCATGAAAATTTGTTTTCCACTCTTCTGGAAAGACTACACTCTCTTTTGAACATGGAATTATATATTCTCAATGAATTCCCAATTGTTGACCAGTATATGATGAAAACCTAGTTTTGCTACTATCACCAACTGATATTAGTGATGTTTACTATTGTTCTGAAACTGGTTATGTTTTTCACCAAAGTTTATTAAAGAAATTTTGATGTGATGTATGTCATGTCATACTATTAATAATAACTATATTATAATTAATCTCATGTTTAAGACTTTACTTGTATTATTTATTATTTTTTAGGCTTCTCTGGCAGAACCAACTCAAACTGTCATCATGCATCGTACTGAACCAAGTCGCCTACAGTCCCTTGCTTTACAGTTATCTGATAAATTCCTTACCCTGGTTGAGAATAATGAACGTATTTTAGAAGTGAAGCAAGGAATTTATCCCTTCCAGAATAAACGTGACAGAAATGATCGACAGCCTGGAACCAGTGCCGCTTTCCAACATCACACACAAGGTGAGTAGAACTTGTTTATACATCATCAGAGTAAAAGCACACAACCTAAGATTGAACTAATACCACTATCTAATCTTTTATTACTAATTTATATAAATAAAATGTTGATGATAATTGAAATCTTTTAAAAGAAAGTGTTGAGGGAAGTGTCACTGGATGTTTAGATGCAAACATGGATTTACAATGTAAACAATGCTGGTTGAAGAATTACAATCTTGTAGCCAAGATGGTTTTGCTTTTGTATACATTTTAGTTTTAAAAAATTACCCAAAAAATCAAACTTTTAGAAGCTGACAGAGGTTACTATGATTGTTGTCGAAAAAAAAAAAACAGTTGCAAAATACAATTTTATCTGTTACCAAGAAAAAAAATAACATTAATGTTTTCACTTGTTTTAGGTGTAGTAGAGGGTAAGAAAGATTTATCTTGAAGCAATTGCTTATCATAAGATAAACTGTTTATTCCTTCAAATTATACAGATTTATATCTACAGTGATTTATATACTTAAATATATGATTGATATTCATTCACATTCTTTATAAATTGTTTCGATTATTTAAAGCCATTTATTTTATTTTTATTTTGTTTAAATTACTAACCATATCACAATTTATTTATTTTTCATTTACCGTAATTGCAATTAATTTACCCTCCTAAGCTAGAAATAGAACTTTATTTTGTCCTTTTCTATGCATAGATTAAGTAACCTTTATCACTATAACCTAACCAGTATTAGCATGTAATGCCCTGATAGACATTTTCCCTATTGTTTTTAACATAGAGATGGCTTAACTTGGTAAGATAGATTTACCAGATCTTCAATTTTATAAATTTTTATTTCAACCTTCCTTTGGAACTTTGGAAAAAAATATTTATATGGTGAAGGTACATGTTTGTTACAAAATTCTGTGTTCTTGAAATCTAAAGACATTCCACTATGGTCTTGGACATCATGGGATGGGCCTTTCCTCTTCATGGTTGTTTTTTTGGCTTTATACCAACTCCTTTTATCCCTCTCTTATTAACAATCTTCTTATTTGAAGCTCATTTTAATATTCTAATTCTTTGGTCATTAGAATAAAGATGAGTAATTAAAAAAGATTTTTTCATTTTTCATTTCCTTCTTTCTCTATCTTTTTTTGACACAGGTGAAAACCTTTCTTGTAACATTTTACAAAAGTAAAATATTGACAAATTTTGTACATGTTTTCTGAGTTAGTTTGGAAGTGTTATCATTCAACTGGGTGGATGGTAGCAAAGTAGTTTGTTTGCTTTTTGCCACAGATCTCCATATACACTGTTTTGCAATTTAAAGCTAATCAACCAGTCTTTTAAAGCATTTAATAAAACAAAAAGTATAACGAATCACTACTCTTTAATACATGAGTTATGGATTTTTAGAAATTTGACCAGGCTGGAATGTATGCATTGTTAAAAATTTGAACTAGCTGAACCGCATGCCATACTTACTTCAAACTAAAAATAACACATTTTTATGATGTTACTTCCTTATCATTATACTGATGTCATCTTCACTGATTTGAAAGGAGGCAATGCTATTGATTTCATTGTTTCTTTCAACTATACCAGGTTATACATAAATTCTTATGTACTTGAAATTCATTAAGTCAATCACTTCTGTAGTTGCCAAGAAAAATGCATATGTCGGTGAAGCTGGTTAAACAACACTTCACATGATTTTTGCATCATTGCCTCTCAACTCAATAGATCACCTAGCTCACACCAAAGTTTTTAAAGATTTTTTTTAAGATTCTTCTCCTTTTTTTAGTTTATTTTTCTGTGGATATATTTGTTATACAAAGAACTAAATTATATTATGGTTATTATAATGTTGGGACTTTGTAATGATATTAATATTCACAGATATAAAAAGGGAAAAACACATAATTATGTTATATAATCATTTATCATTACAATTTCCAAGGATTTTAACTTGTTTCAGCTACATGTCCTTGAAAATAGTTACAATTCATAAACTATTATAAATGTATTAATGGTAATACACAATACATTCGATCTTAACTTTATAAATTTTGTTAAATTATTGACAATGAAGATTTGATTTTTTTTTCTTCATTCTTGATAATGTAATAAATTCCAGTTGTGTTGTTTGTATTTGAAAACATTTAATAATATCCTATTTTGTGTTTGAAATTCAGGTGAAGGATATGGTCCCCCAACATCAAAAAATGTTACAAATAATCAACATTGGAGTAAGTACATGATTAAGCTTTTAACATCGTCCTATTGTGCGTGGGTTTGTCTTGTGTAATTGTTGATGTGCGGTGCAGTCCTCCTGCACTTACTACTAGAATGTTCCACAGTGAAGCACTGTTCAATTTTATTCCAGAACTTTCACTTTCATCAAAAGGGCTGAATATGTCTTTCTAAAATGCTTGGGTGGTATCTTCATCTGCCATGTTATAACAAATTTCTTCAGAGCCTTGGTTTTGCACAGGCTAGTTGGCTTGAAAGAGTCTTAAATTGTATGTCCATATATAATGTTAACTATTTAATGCATCACAACCAAATTTATTTAAGTCAGTGTATATTATTGTTATGTCAAATTAAAATACTTCAAGGCTCGACGTTTAACTCAATATAAACTTTCCAATTTGAAATTTATGTTTCCTTTTTTTTTTCAGATCGTAGAAATAACAAGAATTATTCCAGAGAATCACGCAACTACTAAAAGATTAAATAATATCTCATATTACATTTCTGAAATTAGTGCTGTATTATAACAATTCAATAAGAGTATTTCTCGAAGTGTATAAATTTTATATTTAGGTTGTTACTTTCTAGTTTATTGGTATAACTGCAAGTTTGGTGTTACAGATTTGTGAATATTGTATTAACATGGATATTGTACATTTTGTCTATAGCAAGTCCTGTGGATCAATAGGTAAACTGGAATTAATGTACCTCAGTAAATGTAACCTTCAGTATTTATTTAGGCTATTCCCATCAAAATAATTGGATTTAATCTTAGATCATTTTAAAAATGTATTTATACTACTATAAATTCTCTGTAAAAAAGAAATAAAATTTAACATACCTTTTATTATTGAATGATATAACACATGACTATTGAAGTTTGTATTAAGTGCAATGTTGACAAAGGCTGAGAGTTGTAGATGATTTTGTCGAAAATGATTTGAAATTACGATTCTCTACTAAGTTTTGCACTGTAAATCATAAAACCTGTAAGCAGGAGATGTGTTCAATCAGGGGTTGTATGAATCAACAGCCTACATAATTGTTTACATTCACCAATGGAGCTGACCAGATACCACCTGATTCAATGACCAAACACGTTTTGTGCCCACAATTGCTGGATGAAAATAAGATGGTCAGTCCTTTCTGGAGGGCAGTTGTTCGGGTTTAATTCAATGACATCAAATGAGTCATATCTGATGAAAAATAAGATCCACATAGTACAATATTGGATCTGTAAAAAAAAAATTACAAATAAGGTAGGTGTTCGTTCTATTTGATACAAGTTGTAAAACAGTTGATGCATCCTTGTAAAATCAGACAAAGAGCTCTGGTTGTCAGCCTTCAAAAAGACAAAGGGCCAGGAACCATAAATTTCAGTGTACTGGGGTTTAATGTCTACTCGAAACAAAATAGGTCATTTTGACACTGACATTCCATTTTATTTCAACAACTCGCTTGTGCATAGGTGCTTGTGGGAGGGGGGGTGTTAAAGTCCTACTGGGCTATATACAAGACACAATCTGATTAAAACACAGATTTTATTTTGTTTTAGTCGTTTTCACTAGACTAGTATCTGTACAAGTTATATTATCGGCATTCTGTTTGAAGCGAGGGATTAGCCAATGAAACGGTCTGTTACAGCGGGTTCTTGGCGTTTGATGCACGGAACTGTGGGTAAACCACTAGAATCGTCAACACTAATCACATTGACGTCATAGGGTCAAAAGTGTCTCCTGCGACCTTACAGTACAACCGGTCAGATCTTCATGTCAAGTCTCGCTCCTCCATTTTTAGATTACATCAAAATACGGCTGAACCGTTCTAATCTATTTAATATTGGAGAAATCTGATGCCATCGAGAGTTGATTATGGCCTGGATCAGTTAATTCAAGTCGAAATAATTTAGAAAACATTTCAGGCCTAAAGAAAGACCTGCCATAGGCAGATTTAGCTCTTCTATAATGTATGTTTAAGGAAGGGGATGGCAGTAGGTGGAGAAAAACATCACAGAACACAAGATTTTTTGCAGTTTTTTTTATTACTTTTATTTTCCCTCCTAATGTCTAGAAAACCATTGTGTGGGGAAACTGATTTTTCTTCAGCCAAAACAACGATTTCAAATAACCAGTTAATAATTTCTGATCTGGGTGCTTGGCAATGGCATCTAGTACTTGTTTATCTATAGAAACTTGGTCTTCTTTCATCTCCGGTGAAATAGTTTTTGCCTGTAATACAAGATGTATAAAATATACAAGTACAGGTGGAATATTTTCTACCAGACAAGATTATGATTTTCCACTAAGTCTAATGTTTTTGTCAAAAATTGATATTTTAAATTTTAACTAAGGATCAATACTACATGTATTTACCAGCAGTTATGTGAAATTGCCATTACACAGCCACGTTAAAGATACATTATGTAAGATTTAGATAAAGAACTAGCCATTCTTGCTATAATATTTCGAAAGTAGATGATGTAAAATGAATAATTTGAAAATTTCATTCAAATTACTCTATTGCAAGCGAAGATATTAGCCTTTGAAGGTTTGACAGGCGTGTGCAATAATTTCAAGCACCGTATTGGTTGATCGAAGCTAAGTCTCGGTCCTCCATATTTGATTTAATCAAAATATCACTGAACCATTCTAATCTATTTAATATCGGAGAAATATGATGCCATCGAGAGTTGATTAAGGCCTGGATCAGTTAATTAATGTCTAATTAATACTTTAAAAAACATTTCAGGCCTAATGAAAGACCTGCAATAGGCAGATTTAGCTCTTGCATAATGCATGTTTAACATATCCAGCCACACCTTGAGTACATTTTAGTGTAAACCCACGAAATTAGGTTCTGACCAAAAAATGTAAATGACAATCAGCAACTTTAACTTTATAAATATAAAGAGCTATCTAGGTGGTCGATAAAAATTTGTATATACCTCTTTTGATGATTCAAAGATATCTCCTTCATTCTTTGGAGCCTTTCTTGTCTTCTGTTTCTTGAAGTATTCATCATTTAACCTTTCTGGTAGTTTAAGATTGTCCAAATTTACTTTGGTTTTAGTGGCTATAACGTAAATTTGATTGACACGACGAAGAGGACATCCGTTAACAGTATATGGACCTGAAAATTTAATTAAAAATATAATATACAGTCAATTAGATTTTTTAAATATTAGACAAAAATCAATTAGATTTTTTAAATATTAGACAAAAATTAAGTACCAGTTTCAGAACAAAAGTAAACATCACTAACATCAGTTGGTGATAGTAGCAAAACTAGGTTTTCATCATATACTGGTCAACAGAATCGGCACAATACACAACTCTTAGAATAGAATATAGTCCACATTTTAGACCAGAGCACTCTGCCAAAAACTAGTGATCTAAGATAAATTGATGGAAACAACTTCCTATATTCTCTTTCAATAATTGCAAGGCTAGAATCTACAGGAAGACAAAATTCTGCATATATTTACATAATTATATCGTGAAGAAGTCTATATGAACTAAATGCAGATGAAACAATTTGATTACAGGTATATATTTTTATTCAAAGCCATCTTATCTACCAAAATACACTTACCTGTAACTAGTAATAATCCAGATCTCAGCTGTTTCAAAAATATAACTCTCTGAAATATAATTAAAAAGATAAATATTTTAATTTTACTTGGAATTACAAAACATGACCATTTGACTATAATATTACACTGGTGAAAGCCATTAAGTAAACTTAATTTCAAATGACAATTGCCATTCCTATGCAGTGACCAATAGGCTGACTTGTATCATATAGGTAGCAGAGAGAGAGAGAGAGAAAAATCGGGTTTAAGGTCCACATATGGTTTAATTTGGCTTGCGCATAGGGGTCTTTAGCAGTGGGAGGAACCCGGAGAAAACCAACGAGGTTGGACAGATGACCCTACTCCTTGTTACATACAACCGGGGATTCGAAACCATGCCAGTTGACTCAATGACAGGCCTTATGATACAGCGTGCACGTGCTAACCATTCGGCCATCCAACCCCCCTATAGGTAGCAGAATTATGATTATGTGAGAAGTGGTCATAACTTAAGTTGATCAATTTGTTTAAATTTTGGACCAAAATATTTTTTAATATAAGTATAAGTACTTTTGATTGGGTTAAGTTTGATTTTAAACTTTAAACTGTATTACAATTTCACATGGTGGGTCTTTAAAAGGCAATGTCATTCCAAATGCCTGGTAGATTTCAGAAGCTTTAATTCTTCATCTTGTTGAGGATGTTCATACCATTTACAACATCTAATTCTAAAAGCTCAAAATCCCCACCTCTCTTGCATGAAAACTTACCTTGCCCTTGTGTCTGCCAGCCAAAACAATGAGTACTGTTCCTGGGGTAATAGAGGATCGGCATTTATGGGGATGATCTTTGAAAGCCCTCTTTCGTGATTTCAAATGATTTGGGCGAGTTTGTGTTGGGTAGGATCTAGGCTGAAATAGACAGACATCGGTAATTTAAACACAAATATAAAACATTACATATTACATTACTTTACATTCCTCGATAAGCAGAAATATTTCATTAAAGTATCCAATAGTCATTTGAGGGAATCCTAATCCCTTGTAAACTACAACATTGTTAAAGCTGAATCTATAAAACAATTATCTTTCCAAAAATGTTCAATTCTGTTCAGTATTTACAAACTTATGATAAATTGTATTTTCATAGATTTTATTGGTAGCAGAGAAACCTGATGAGCCTAACTTAAATCCAATTGAATCCAAGACAGGGCGCTTCCTAGCTTTGGTATTTTGATTTCTTAATTTAATGTTAAACAATCAATCTGAGAATATATTTACATGTAGCATGTATTAACCCATGAGAAATTTAATATTTTAGCTAAAGTTCAAATGGCCTTTGAATGTTGAATAATCTGTATATCTTTAATTAGATTTTTTAAAAATGCAAATTCTTCTCGGCAGCTTTAATCTAACTAAGAAAAGGATCAGTTTTAATAGTTATACCTAGTACTGTGTCGATACGCTCTGGCAATATTTGTATCGATACCGAATAGTCATATCGCTGTATCGTTAAAAAATAAGTTCTTCAGTTAAGAAAGACCATAAAACTTATTAATAGGTTTTAAATATTAAATTATTAATTTTTTTGCTTCACCGTCTCAAGTGTTTGTTGCAAAAAATTTGTGTTGTGTGTGGATCTTCCATCGTCACGTTGTGTAAACAAACTGGTCTAAAACTTAAGTTGAATAAGTGCTTCTACTTCTGTTACCTATTCAGTAATCATTTACTGTACTTCGTAGTAATACTTAATCCAAGAAAACTATTAAATTGTCAGAATGCAAATTAATATTTTATTTCTTTAATAACGAAAACAAAAATACAGGGATGTAGCCACGCCGGGCACTATTTTTTGCTGCCCAGCACAAAGAAAAAATCGAAGAAAGCCACCCAGTCGTATTTAAACCCCTTCGTCCTTCTCTGTACACAAACTCAGCGCTCAAAATTTACCACGGCAAACGGCAGGGCCATGGTAAAAGCCGATGCAAACCAGGTCTGCCACAACCAGACCAATTTACGGCACTCCAATGTTAGAGGTTTGGATGTCGTAAATGTGTGTCGTAATTCGTGAGACAAGTCAAATTAAACAACGTGTTTTAATTATCACTATCTACCTGTTGTCATAATTTGTTGTACTCAAAACACAAACTTAAGAATCGTTTTCATTTTTAATCTCAAAGTAATAAAGTAATATTTGAAAACCCCCCAAAAAAACTTTTTTAGATCCCTAGCAGAGTCTCTGTATCATTGATGAAAATTAAGTAAATTTGGTAAAAATTTGAATTATATAAATGGAAATTTGATTTGCACTGAAGCAAATACAAAAGGCAGCAGATGCTCTGAAAATACACCAAGAAGGGTTGAATTTTCATAAAAGACCACGCCGCCCCCCTCCAAATTTCGTTTTTTCATTGCTACGCTCAGCAGCTATTTTTTCCACTCCGCAAATCCTGGCTACAACCCTGAAAATGATCGGTTTAACAGTTTGTTTTCTTCACCCTATGATTTGATTTTTGATTGTCATGTCACACATTCACATAGTTTATTTTTGTTATCTATAGCTACACGACCTCAATCTGGGTTCAGTCTTCTGTTATGATATCCGGCAAAAGTAAATCAAAGGTTTTTAACAAAAGAAAATAATAAAGCTGCATACCCATCTCAGTTTTAGTTATCAAAATGTATTCTAAGGCTATTTTGGGCATAATTCCTGATGTCACCGATAGTATCGAAAATGAACTGTATCGACACAGCCCTAGTTATACCATTTAATAGTAAAATATGTTCTGCACGATATTAACCTAGATATACTATTCAAAAAAAGTAGGGGATATTTGATTTTTAAGTGTTATTAAAGTCACCTAATGAAACTGACGAAGAAATAAATGACAAAATGAAATGAAGTTCACATTCATCGATTTATTCCAAATGATCGTTAGACTAAGTAAGGCACAGACTGACCATTATAAGGGTAAAATGATACCCGGGGTCAAACAGCAAAGTTACCACAGCATCACAACCAAGTCAGTAACGGGTAAATCCTCCTCTGTTTGCCAAACAAGCATTGATCCGACGTGGCATACTCCTAATGAGACGTCTAAGGTCATTTTGGTCCAGATTGTCCCATTCCTGTTGCAACGCAGCAGCAAGTTCTTGGACATTGGCAGGACGTTGTTGACGTTGACGTAACCTCTGTCCAAGCATGTCCCAGACATGCTCGATGGGGGAGAGGTCGGGACTCAGTGCTGGCCAAGGTAATGTGGTGATGTTCTGTTGTTGGAGGTAACCTGTAACGATCCTGGCCCTGTGACATCTTGCGTTGTCATCCTGGAAGATGAAACGGCGGCCATGACGTCGTGCGAACGGCACAACATGGACTGCCAAGATGTTATCCCGGTAGTACTGGCCTGTAACACGCCCTGCAACAACATGTAAAGCCGTTCTTCCAGCAACAGTGATGCCTCCCCACACCATAACAGAACCACCCCAAATCGATCATGTCTGATGACCTTAACGTCTTGGAAGCGCTCGTTTCGACGACGCCACACCCTCCTACGTCTGTCCAAAAAATCAACAGTGAACCTTGACTCATCTGAAAACATCACATTGCTCCAGCGTCGATTATCCCAGTGTTGACGATCCCTACACCAACGACGTCTTGCCTGAATGTGATGATCTCTCAAACAAGGGATCACGCGAGGACGTCGGGCGCGAAGGTGACCCCTATGCAGTCGATTCCGAATCGTCTGGCCACTCACTCTCACACCAGTGTCTGTTTGAAGACGAGCGCTGATCTGATTTGCTGTGATGACACGATTTCTCAAGGCCAAGGTACGGATAAATCGATCCTGGGCTTGAGTTGTCGCCCTTGGTCGACCTGAGCGTGATCTGTCCTGTACAGATTGTGTATCACGGTATCTGGACCATAGCCTGCTTATGACAGACTGAGAAACATTCATCGTCCGCGCCACAACCGCCTGTGTTGTGCCGATCTGCAGCATGCCAAGGGCACGTAACCTTTCATTTTGGGTAAGCCGACGCATATCAAAATTTGTTTTCTGGTCACTAAAACAATTAAACTGATGTTTCCACCCTGGAATTCAATGCCACAATGACTGTAACATTCAAAGTCAGAGTCGTGCAAATCTTGGGTTGGACCCCCATGATGATCCCAAGCATCACCTGCATTCCATGCGGTAGCTATTGGTGCGTTTGGGCGTCACATGTAACTGGAAATGTTTCTTCTGTTAGGTTCTATAGTGACTTTTTTTGTCGTCATTTGCATATTTTAGTATTATCCCCCCAAAATCAAATATCCCCTACTTTTTTTGAATAGTATATAATCAAATAAACTAGTTTCAGAAACACAAGAAATCATCACTTTGATCAGTTGGTGATAGTAGCAAATCTTAGGTTTCATCACAAACAGCCAATTAGGTGCTTAATAAAAAGCTTGTCTAAATTTGATTTCAGGTATGGTAAGTGGTCTCATTTCAAGTACTGACCATAACTAAGAATAATTCAAACCATTTCTAATATGTAAGCTTACCTTTCGTCTGTTGGGAACAATTCTATCTTTACCATTTTTATCACCTCCAACTGTCTTCTTTTTACCTTTAGCTGGCTGTCGGGCTTTGACAGGCTTAGCTTTCGATCCGGCAGGTGCCTTGCCCTGTTAAAATAACACATCAACAATCAACATTTCAAAATGTAACTAGGAAGATAAGTATGATAATCTGTGTACATTTACCTGTTGAACTTAAAAGTCTAATTAAAATCAGGCGTAGACCATACTCAATACTGTACGTATTCACACAAGTTCAAGTCCGAACAAAATTAAGACTGCATTGTGTAGAATTGCTGTTTTGGAAGACCCACATCTAAAATTTTTCTTTTACTCCCAGTTCCAACATACGGTAGCTTGCAAGGTTTTTTTGTTGCAATTTAATTTAGCTCATGTATTGGATGGCTTAATTGCACTAATTTGGATTACTACGTCAGTACATGTATATATGGTGTTAAATTAATAATTATGAAATGATGGTATTGGTATGACATACTTGAACTTGAAGGAGCAATATTTATTTTCAAAAGCAGCTATATTATTATTAAGTAGTACAACATATACATTTTTTTTTTATCAGGAAGCCTTAAAATAAAGAGGCATTTCGGAAGGCCTACTCTGTAGTAGTCAATAATAACAGTTCTGCTGAGTATTATAATTACTAGAGTTTGAGTAGACTACTGTGTGAACCGTGGTAAATAATAAACGGATTTCTTCGATTATGAACAAACTACTATACTTTAGTTGTTATAACCTTAACCGTGTGTTTGAAATTACCTCCGGTTATATAAAATCCATTGTACAACTATATGTCCTTGCGAATAAAAAAAGTTCTCTCTTGTAAACTTGAACTCATCACAAACTTTGATACCGAGAAATAACCAAAATGGAAGCTAATTACGTCACTTATCGGGATATTTCATTTCGTATAGGGGGGTCAAAGCAAGGCTTGTCTGTCGTAACGGTTGTGTATGAATAAGCTATTCCTCTCGGAACCCAGTAATGAGTTTGGGCGTTTAAAAACATAAATACGCCTGTAGTCCGGTATTTTGTTTCCCTCTTGTATTATAATTATTTGGTTAGAGAGTTTGGTGGAATTATTTCTTTTAAATTATATTTGTTTTACTGACCTTGAATTAATTTCACCCTTGAATATTTTTATACGCCCACATTTTCATGTGGACGTATTATGCCGTCGCCCCTGTCCGTTCACAATTGTTTGTGGACTCTCTATAGGTCACAATTCTTATCCGATTTTGACGAAACTTGAAATATAGGTTTATCCCCAAAAGATCTCGGCTTCTTTCGATATTGGCATGTATCGGTTCGAAACTTCATGGATTATGGCCCCTGATTTTACGAAAAATCACGTTTTTAGCTTGTGGACCCTATAGAGGTCACAATTTTTATCCGATTTTGTTGAAACTTGAAATGTAAGTTTATAACCCAAAGATCTTGGTTCCTTCCGATATTCGCGCATATCGGACCATAACTTCCTGAATTATGGCCCCTGATTGTACGAAAAATCGCGTTTTTAGCTTGTGGACCCTATAGAGGTCATAATTTTTATCCGATTTAAAAAAAAAAGGAATTATTATATCACCGTTACACCCTAAGTAAGGCTGAGTTCGAATTTCGTGAAAATCGGCCCAAAACTGACGGATAAAATGGCCGCCCTTCGTTCTCAAATAGCGTAAAAATATGGTATATCAAGGCTGTGGACCCTATAGGTCACAATTTTAATCCGATTTTGTTGAAACTTGAAATGTAAGTTTATAACACAAAGATCTCGGTTCCTTTTGATATTTGCGCATATCGAAGTGTAATTTCCTGAATTATTTCCCTTGATTGTAGGAAACATCAATTTCTTTTTAGCTTGTTCTCTCTCCATAGCCGAGGTAAATGCCGATCTATTTTACATTTGCCTAGACAACATTAATAGCCGAGGCCATTGAATCATTGAATAGGTATAGGCCTATAGTATAACGTTATTTTTTTTTTATATAAATACCAAAAATTATTACTAACAATTAATCATACCGTACACCGGATTAATTATCAGCAGATAGTTCAGTTTCTTTCTATTTCGCTTTGAATATTATTTCTGGTGTGCAAAAAAATGTTTAGAAAAATTTATAATCGTACGTGATCGGTAACACAATTATTTTGTAAATTCCCGGTTTTGTTTTGAAATTCACAAGGCAATGTATCCAATATACAATTATATATACAGGGGTGAAAAACAATATTATATTTACGAGTATTCGTATAATTGGTGATATATTCATTGTGAATAAAATTTAGTAGACTGACAATCAATTGTTTCCAAATAAATGTCTTTGTCTCAGTTGCTATTGTGTTGCCCAAACTCAAAACGGTCGTGCGCTGTTGTTATTACAACACATGTGATTCAACCTTTACCCCCCTTCAACATATTATGATGGTTTAGCTCATGACGTGACATGTGTAATGTTGTGATGGACATTGTCGAAAATACAAGCAAAAACATTGATTTTTCAAGAGAGAACTTTTGTTTTGGATATTTAATTGTGCAATATATTTTATTCAACCGGAGGTGATTTCAAACTCATAGGCAAGTTTTTAATAACAATTATTCTGTAGTTTGTTCACAATCGAAGAAATCCGTTTATAATTTACCTTGGTTCACACAGTAATAATAATTTCTGCTTGTAAAACCCAAATATTTCAAACATTTTACCTTGGCTACTGGCGTCTTTGGAGCCATCTGAAAGAAAGAAACAGATAATGTATACGTAGTTCCAATATGAATCTACAGTCCGACTGACACGGTAAAATATTTATTTAACTTTAACTTATAGATAGTTAAGCACCTTTCAAAAGGTAAACAAATTGGATACATGTCTTCATCCATGGCACCTCCAGAAACGATTAAATTTTAACGCTGTACATTCGCGGGGCATAGAAAATATCATCGAATTATATTGAGGAATAGATTAACTGAATAAAAATATATTTATTTCATTCAGATGTAGTGGGGGATGGCTTGATAAATGGAGATTTAAATGCGGATTCTACAAACACAACCACTTACATTGAGCACTCGCGTGTAAGAGGAAGGCAAAAGAAGTGACGTATGACACATAAATTGATGACGTTTTTCGCAAACACTGATAAAGGGACATAACTCTCTTCAGTTTTATTTTTCCTGTTAAAATTCATTCCTCTTCTTCGACCCGAGTAATACTAATAAACTAATAATATATTAGAGTTCTATCGCATATAATACATAATGATGACCGTTCCAGGTAATATCGCTATTGATAATCCTAACAAAATAATATGTTTGCATCTAGCACCACAGTGCTAGAGTTTGAACTTTGTACTAATTTGTAGTGACTAGTGTTTACTTTTTTTCATTAATTTTGTCCCACAGCCAGTAAAAACACATAAGAGGAGCACCAATAGCTTTCACTGAACTGTTAAATCTTTGTGGCGAGTGGACGTTAAACCCCATTTCTCTCTCTCTTAGAAAGCTTAATAAGATTTTCTTAAGAATGTCACCCTTCTTGGTCTTTGTAAAAAATATAATAATTAAATAGAGAGGATGTGCTGTCTTTGGTCCCTGTGTGTACTCCAGCAATAACAATATAGTTCCCAGCCAGTGCAGTATTTACTACCAGTTAGCTAATGTCAGTCAAAACAGAATGACTTTTTTGACTTTTTTGATTTTACTGATTACAATGTTTGGGCTATATATTGATATCGGTATTGACATGTTGATAAGATGGATAAACTGTAAAATGTTTACATTATGGCATATTACACAAACCGATTATAAAATCAAATGTTTTGTTTTATTTCAGATGGATATGCTACTGAACCACAGATAGACTATAAAGTCAAATACAAAGCCTTAAAGAAAAAATTCAGACTTCTTGTTTATGTAAGTTGGCTTCCCGAAAAGTGGTCGAGCTATAGTACCCGATCCTCATGGGTGTAATGTCTCGGGTTTGTATCTCAGCGTGGACCGAGAAGAACCTTCAGGATTTTTCGTGCCTGGCTTACTTGTCAGTTTAAAATATGGTGGCCGCTGTGGAACTTACAAGGAATGTGTGCCTAATGATTTCGATGGAATGAAAAGCCGAGGTCCAACTGTGTTCAAATTGACATGCCCATCAACTTCAAAGAACCCATAACTTTAAAATTTTAAGAAGAATACTTACCCTCATTGATGTATTTCTTCTTGATGTGTTTTTTAAGTTGCATTTAGTTTTATTCACGGTAAAAAATACAGGTATAATAATAATATTACTTTTTTATTAAAGGAACATGAATGTTTTTTAGAAGAATTGAGAAAAGCACAAAGAAAGTTATTAAAAGTAGCAAGGGATAGAAGGTAAATATAACATTATGAAAACTAGGATTTCAATGTAATATTGCTGTTGAAATCATATAGCGTGCTCCCTATGATTGATCCAATGAGGTCCCTATCGGTGTATCATAGAGCAATACTTCAACAGTGTTTGAAGCCTAGGTAATTCCTGTGTTGTACTGAAACCTACCGTGAACCAGGTTATACTGAAATACAAGTCACAGGACAGTGTAATTTAATTATATCTTCTAGTTTCCTTAATGTTATGTGCCTTGATAAAACCAGACTTATTTATTCTTTGATTATGAACAGATCAGAATTCTGTTTTGTTCAATGCTTCAAAATTGTTTTCTAGTCAAGCTTTTGAATATGATAAAAGTTTTGATCTTTGCCATTATTTTTCAGTTTTCTATTAGATCGTTTAATTCAATATGAGAAAGTAGAAGAATCATCAGGTGATTCAGATGCTACAGCTTCAAGTGATAGTGATGGTGAAGGCCATAAAGATGGAAGTCTAAGTAAAAAGTACTCATTCTGATTTCATCTCAAATCTTCCAAACATACAAATTAGTCTAATGAATGATTTTATTGAAATGAGTTGTAATATGAGTCATTTAACCCAGCGATCCTTTGACAAAATAGAAACAAGAAAATAAAAACATTTACTCACACATCAGATATTATTTTAAAGATTTGTCGAAGAATCATAATTTTTTGTTTGTGTTGCCTATTGATGGAGATCAACAGATAGATACTTTAATATTGGTTTATATGTGTCCGTTTTCTTTATTTTAGTTTAACACATGATTAAAAACTCTTATTAATTGATAAATATTTAATATATAAATCTAAGAATAAAAGATTGATGTGTTTATTATTTCAGAAGAAAATTAAACTCAGGAACTATATCAGTACCACCAGAATATGCTCATCTTGTATCTGCTGCTGCACTAAGTGGTGTCTTACATGGGGTAAATAAGTTCCCTCATTTCTTTCTTTCCTTAAACTCATCAAAATTTGGTGTTGTATGTATAATAATAGAACAGAGATCGAGAACAAGATGGTGTTACGATTAATTCAGACTATCAATGAAGGCTGTAAGATTAGGGCTTACTCTGTTTCAGCTTTGTTCAAAAAGCTGTATTGAAATATGTTTTTCAATTAAATCTACATTCACATTATTTTTCAATTTAATCTACATTTGTATTGGTGATCAAAATAAGTTAGTAGATAGTACAACCATATTCTACATACACTATGTTCTGTGTATGATCATATGATCTAATACTGAACATCAGCAGAGGAACGCCCATTTTACATTCACTAATTGTTATTATTCAGCCAACTAGCCAGTAGGGGTTATTTAAAATGAAAACATAATGTATCAGAAAAAACCATTAAAGCAGTATTTTGTTTTATTGCCCTATATGATTGTAGAAACCTTTCTTTGGATTCGATCCTCTGTCGACGTTTGGTCAATGATCCACCGGTCATGTGCATAGTTTCGAAATGTGTTTTTTCTGTGCCTAATTGAATTTATAAAATTTTTGCAGGGAGGGTCATCCAATCAAGATTCTTCTAAAAAAAGAAGTAAGTCATCCAATAAAAGGTCAAAAGGTGGTGGAGGTAGGTATATTAAATATTTCTCTAAGATGAAACAAAATTCAACATAACAGGAGGTTCCTCCTTATACGGAACCAGCAGCAGCATCCTGTATTTTAAACTTTTCTCATCTTTCTGTAATAACTACATGTAGTCCCAGTAAGTTTGAATAATTGCATCAGATACTCTGATAAATTTACATATGTGACTGGTGACAGCAAAATGAGTCTTAATGACCAAAAATTCAGAAATAAGTTACATACGTCATCTTAAAGAGAATGTCATAAGTTGTCTAATGATACCAAAATCATTGTTCTACCTTACTCCATCGTGCAGATATTCAAGTTCAAAGTCCGGGAGTCCAGAAAGGCCTATTTCGAGAAAACTTTGTTTAAAGATTATGTTAAAAATTTCTGTTATTCATGACAAAAGTCACCGTTAAAAATGCCAAACTGCCACTAAACTTGACACAATTGTTAAGAACATAAGATTTCAACATAACACACGTAATTTCAATAAAATCATGCTTTCGGGAATGTTCCTATTTAACGTTGTCACAAAAATAATCCAAAACGAGATTGTTCCATTGATGAACACTGGCCGATGCAGACAAATTAAAAGATGTCAAACCGTTCATACATTTCGTTACGGTTTACTTGGAGTAAACTACTACTTACTAATTGCTCCATTTCTACCCTTTATCAACATTTTCCTGCTAGTAAAGTGTGACAGGCTTAATTTTAACATGATAAAGTATTCGAAAATGGTCAAAACCAAATTTTGAAAATTTTTGCACTCGGACACAAATTAGCGTATAATTAAAAATCTACTTCTGCACTTAAGACTCGTTTTGCTATCACCGGTCACATATATAAATGGGTATATAGCTTTACTATGACCCCAAAGTTCTGAGTTTTTAAAGCCCTATTGAAATGAAATGAAATGAAATGGAGTTTAACGTCCTACTGTTCTGCTCCTAACCTGGGCTAATGAAGACGGGCATACGCCATACAGTGTGCTATGAGGCACTACGGCCTACTCTTATATCGAATTCCAACTGCCAAGGGATCTTTTACGTGCACGCCAATGTGTACACGGGACCTCGGTTTTTCGTCCCATCCGAACGACTAGACAGCTTTCCTTGTCAGCCCCTCCGTCCTGCATCACTGACATGGGAGGACCACGCCGGAAAATCTGGATGAACTTTCTCGGCCAATGCAGGGATCGAACACCCGACCTCCAGGCTAGCGAGCTAGCGTCTTACCCACTTAGCCACGTGATCCCCTAAAGCCCTATTGAACAATCCATGCTCATTTGAATTAAATTTGGTCAAGAACTCTGATCATAAGAAATGTATTTATGTTTAACTTTTGTTTCGTTTTGTTTTCTGCTGCTCATTATGTGTCTCTCATAATGCAGCGCACCAGATTCCATTGTAGTGTAGACAAGGAAAATGAAATTTTAATTATAAAAAAAGATAATGAAAAAAGTCTGTTTTATTCAGACTGAAATTATAATCAGATCGAAATCTATGAAGGGTTATTAAACTGTTTATATCAGCTTGTATTATCACTGTCCTTGCTCTCTTCTCTTTTGTGGACAGTTCGGTTGTGACCGGAATCAGCCTTTCATGACTCCCAACTAGATAAACTACTCTGTTAACTAGTGGGGCCATGGTGGCTAAGTGAGTAAGATTTATTGGGAGGTCGCGGGTTCGCTCCCAGTGTTGGCCAAGAAAGTTCATTTTTGTTAACAAAAGGATGTATTTTATCATTCTGTATTTCCACTGTAGGACATCTAAAGGGAGGTAAACAGCCAGGTCAAATGACAAGAGAGGAATTAGAGCGTCACCTAGATTCCCGACAGTCATCGTTTGGTTTAGAGAAAGCACCTGCCAATTTACCTATGGACATCTTTAACAACGACAATTCTAACCCAGATAGGTAAATTTCTACTTATTGTTTAATTTACAATAGTTTAAGAAAACTCGGCTTCTAAACCATTATGAACCAATTCATGAATCATTACATCAGGCTATGTAGTTGTTTGTTTTACAATCACAGGTTCAAGCTCTTCAGAAAATACAAAATAAATTTTTGCAGGCCACAAAGAATTATTCTAGGTCACAAAGACATCCGTAACATACTAAAATCCTGGAATTTTGAGTTTCTCAGGGTCTTGATAAAGAAATAGCCACTTAACATCTGTTAACAATTTGTAGTTTAAAATGTCAAAACTTGAAAATATGGAACAAGATCTTACATTTAAGTCTTCCTATGAAATAGGAAGCAAAAATTCAAATTAGTGTGGCCTTTACATTTAATTCAATGTTCCAGTGTTTTCTTGTGATACAAACACATGTCTTTGGCACATGTATTGCAGATACAAAATATTCCTTAACATTTCCACAATGTTTACATGATTTCGATCCCACACTTAAAGAGTGATAATAGCAGTATCAGTAATAATAGGACTATAAATGTATGTGAACAAGTTCTGTAACCAATAATCAACCCATCCATCACTATTATAGGTCTATAAGTTTATACATCACTACAAATATTGATTTGTAGTTTATTCTGAGAATATGACTTTTATTGTGGCTCTTCTGTCTTTGGCCCTCCACACCCCAATTTTGAACACTACATGATTTAATATTATATTTGTTTTTCTGTTTTAGTGATCTAGGTCTGCTGATAGGGGAAGATGATGATGATTTAGTTATAGATGTACCCCAGTGATCATACTAACAGTATATATAGTGTTAAAAGCTATAAAGCAAACATAACAATATACATGTAGTGTCTAGTACATTATAAAGGCATTGAGTTGAAAAAGAAATGAATACATCAATGCAAAAAATTGATTTTGCATGTGTACATTAATGACAAAGTTACTTTCAGGGAGTTGCCTGTGGAATTAATGTAGAATAAAAAAAAATTCTAAGACTACGAAAAACATGTCTATAGATCTGATATTTTAAATATTTCCTGTGTTTTGTTATGTATCATCCAATGCAGTATAAATTTAAAGTGATTTTTGAAAGTATATTGTACTTTAAATTTCTCAGCACATTTCTGCATAATATAATGTCCTTGAAATAGGGAATTCTTTATTACATTCTGGTCTTTTATAGTGTGTATGTTCACAATATCCCTATTTCGACCCATTCAATTACGATTTGCTGCCTGTGTTGGGCTAAGTACCAACACATGCTACTAATTCAACAAGTAAATAAAATAGTCTGTATTTTGCAAACAGATGGCAGTATTTATATCTTAAATCTGCGTCTGTATACCTTTAAAGCAAAAGGAACCATCCTAGATATAGTTAAGTACTCTGTGATATAACCTGAAGTGGATTATTGTTCCCTCATTAACAGACTACACACCTCACTGTTGGGTGTTGGGATAGTCAATAACATTCAGATTATTGACAGAAGGTATGTATGGTTTTGGCATACAATATTTTTACAAAAACACTATGATGAACAGAAAGTTAAACCAATCAATTGACCATCTTCAATAGAAGGCTTGATCTCGCTTCAACTACGTACATCTTATCAAGGCCTTCACGTAATACCCTGCATATTGCGGCACTAATTTCGATTGGGTACAAGCCCAACTTGTGAGCCTATCAGATTCCTCGATCGTCGCGAATACCAAGTCTCGCGTTTTCAAGCTAAAATGAGTACCTGTGATAATCGAGTTGCAAAGTTCAAGGTTCATTCAATGTCAAGGTTTCCGTGGAGGTCGCGATGTCACAACCTTTGATTGGACGCTACTGCTCACGTGTCTGTAGATAACATAGCTATAAGTTCGGGAATTGTGAAGTAAACAAGCAACAGCCAGATGTTGTGAAACTCAGTCGTTGCTTCAGGAACATGTTAATTGACAAAATATGGTCTAGTGTCTAGCAATGTGTTAACAAAAACATAGTTACTGTGTTGTGTGACATTTTCCCTTGTCCTTTAGCATTTTAAAGGTTAACAATAAAAAAAAAAGTCTTTTAATGTTTTTTTTTAAAATTTAAATTCATAGTTACCTTGCTATTACATACTTTTACACTATTTGCGTAAAAGGAGCGAGCAGTTTTGTTTCGATTTTCCGAAATTCGAACTCAACCATCATTAGGGTGTAACAGTGATATATTTAAATGAATTTTATGAAATTGGATAAAAATTGTGACCTCTAGAGGGTCCACTAGTTAAAATGGTTATTTTTTCATACAATCAGGGGCCATAATCCAGGAAACTACAGTCTGATATGCACGAATATTAAAACGAACTGAGATCTTTGGGATATAAACACATTTTAAGTTTTATCAAAATCAGATCAAAATTGTGACCTCTAGCACAAGATTTTTTAAAGTGATCAAGGGCTGTAATTATCGGAAATTCCTGCAAATCAATAGGCTTCTTTGTCTCATGACCTTAAACACTGTGTATAAATTTAAAGTCAATCGGGTATTAACTTTAGCCTCCACAAGCGATTGTGGGCGAGACAATATACGACCACATTTCAATGTGGGCATATAAAAACGTATGAATATATCACCGTTACATCCTAATGACAGTTGAGTTTGAAATTGTCCCTCCTACGCAAATAGTGTAAATATATGGTATATCAAGGTTGTGGACCCTCTAGAGGCCACAATTTTGATCCGATTTTGATGAAACTTTAAAGTTATGTTCATATCTCAAATATCTTGGTTCCTTTTGATAATCGTGCATATCTGAATGTAACTTCCTGGATTATGGCCCCTGATTGTTCGAAATATATAACTGTTTCACATCAATGAAGCTCGAGTTCGAATTTTGTGAAAATCTGACCTAAAATGCTGCACCAACTGGCCGCTTCTTGTACGCAAATAGTGTAAAAGTATGTATTACCAAGGTTGTGGATCCTCTAGTGAATTTTTATCCGATTTTGATGAAACTTAAAATATATCTTTAATTATATCCGAAATATCTCAGTCCTTTTGATATTCGTGCATTCCAAACCATAACTTCCTGTATTATGGCCCCTGATTGTACGAAAAATCACATTTTTTTTTTATCTTGTTCCCTATCCATCTATAGCAAAATGTGGGCGTATCTTGCCTGGCAACCGCTGGTTTTATCAGATAAAAATTGTGACCTCTTAGTGGACCATAATCTAAAAACATGATTTTTTTGTGCAATCAGGGCCCATAATCCATGAAGTTAAAGTCCAATATGTGTGAATATCGAACGGAATTGAGATCTTTGGGTTATAAACATACATTTCAAGTTTCATCAAAATCGGATAAAAATTGTGACCTCTAGAGTGTCCACAAGCTAAAAACATGATTTTTCTCGTACAATCAGGGGCTATAATCCATGAAGTTACGGTCCAAAATATTCCAATATCGAAAGGAACCGATAAAAATTGTGACCTGTTGAGTGTCCACAAACAAATTGTGGACAGACGGATAGGGGAGACGACAATATACGTCCAAATGAAAATGTGGGCGTATAAAAACTGAACATTTATTTTCCATTCGCTGTTCCATGTATATAAAGCTGTGATAACTTCATCTATTTTATTAAAGAGGGTTTTCAATTTCTGACAAAATGTTGCAGTTATAAGTCATGTAACTCATAGACTGAATAGCAAGCAAATTGTTTTTCTTTGATTCTAATGAAATAAATAGGCTAAACCATTGGAATCAGGATGGCTTCAGGTCATCGGATGCTTTCATTGTTTTTTGCGTATACACATGCAGCTTTCCAAAATAATCTTTTTAAATAAATGTATTTTATTGTTTATTCTATAATAGATACATGTGAACCAAGACAGGAGATACCAAATTTGTAAACCTATCAATATTAATCATATATTGCAAGATAATCATATTCTATATAACACTGAACAAAAATATAACGAAAAACAATAAATAGAAATAAAAACAAGAAAAAAGATACTATCGCTACCCATATTTTGTGACTTCACGACACTGGAATTTTAATAGATTTTTAAATTAAATATCAAGAGTCAAAAGCTATTTATGAAAAAGGGCAGTAACTCTTGAATGAACAATGCAAATATGGTATAATCAAACTTGTTATTAATTCAATCAAAATATAAACAGATGGCAAGTTTGATCGTCCAAAATAAGAATCCAGACATTTTACAGATTTTGAATCTAGGGAAATCAATATAATATTTTCCACTAAAACAAATTTGAAGTTATTCATAAAACTGCCTTCAGACAACTGGAACCTGAATGGGGTATCTAAATTCAGATTTCTCACAATTAAAAAAGATTATAATTCTAAATGAAAGTTATTATGATGGATTAAATGAAAGTTATTATGATGGATTAAATTTCAAAACATTGGTGATAACTAAAGGCAAACTAAAGATTTCGAGTGAGAACAAAATGTGCCTTGAAGGATGAACAGAAAAACAGAATGACACTTGTATCATTTAATGCCCACATAAAATTTTGACATAATATGTCTTCCTGAAAAACCCTAGATTCAAAATAAGCAAGCTTTAAAGTACTGCATATAAGACGGTAATAATAAACTAAGTTTGTAGTTAAGTGTGATGAAATGTGATAAGAACCGAACTACAAATGATAATGGGTCTTTTATAAGCAATACAAGATATGGTCTTTAGCTATTAATCTGTTTTTTGTCTTTTTTCTGGAGGTTCTGTGCTATCAACAGGTTCTAATTTTACATTAACAACGTCTGTAACTAAATTCTCACTACACACTTTATTTTCTGCAACGTTTAAATGTTTAACACACATAATTAACTGAGACCCGTCCTCTGATACCTGAAGTGGTATGGAATTGTTTGCTAAAATTTCGGCATTTTCCACTCTTTCATTATCACTGCCAGTGTCAACTTCCACTATTTCTAATGTCTGGGATTCTGAATTCACTAAATCCTCAGACGTAACTTCAACAATTTTGTTTGTCGTACCAGTGAATGTCTCTGAGTGAGTTGAGGTGAGAATTTGAGCGACTGTCGATGTTAATTTGGAAGAAATGATTTTAAAGAACTCTTGTTTTAATTGTCCAAATTGTTGTGTTAAAGCATCTTTGTGTTGACTATTTAATTCTTGAATGAGTGATTGCATGGTAGTGTCTGTTGAATTAGCTATTTGATTTATTTTTTCTTTATCTCTTGACTGATAAGTTTTTAATTCATCGTTCAAAAGCTGTATCTAAAAAAAATAGAATAATTTTGGTTATAAACATTCGTTGCCTGGCAACAAAACACAGGCCCACTGACTGATATTTGAAGCAAATAGCAGACTAACAAGATTATGGATTCCAAATTAAACTCTTAGTTAAAAGTGTAAGTAAAAAAAGGTTATTCAATTGTCACTCATACTTTTCACAGAAAGCACACATATATAGAAAAGATGGCTGCCTTAGTGTTTTGTGATTCAACTGGGAAAAGTATGTCTTTATTATCTTATTTATATCTATCAATATAGGTTACAATGACATTTTTTTTTGGTGGGGGGGTTACAAATGTACTAAAAAGTCATGCTAAAACAGACATTTGCTAAAGGGGGGGGGGGGGATTTTATTTAAAAAGAAAAACTAAATTGAGAAGCCTGTAAATTCACATCAACAAAAAAATAAGCCCTTTTCTCAATACTTCAGGTACTTAATATAGGCATCTTAAATTTGGTTGCTAAAGTCTACGTAATAACTTGTCTTACGGTAGGGTGAGTATGGAACTAATTCAAGTGAAGTAACACTTAATAGAACAGAAGAATACAACAAACGTTTGATACTTGCGAACAATTGAATTTGGGACAAGTTCCTAAATGATTGGATTACTGCGGTCAACAACAAACGAAATAAGAGCCATCAGAAGAGTTTTTCAAGCACAATTTTCAATTCCATGCTTTTCTGGGAAATTCTAAGATTTTGTGAAACAATGAATATAATTTGTAAACACATACATGAAGTTTTAATTCTTCATTTTCATTTCTAAGTTGTGATTTTTCTTGTTCTAATTGTTGACATCTGTTTTCTAAAGCCTGATAATGTTCGCTTTTATTTTCTTGCCCTTCCTATAAAAAATATTTAATAGATAAATTTTAGATTATTTATATTTGATATTTTTTAGCATTTATTATAAAAACATATAGATAAGCCCAGTTCTGTTTCATTAATCAGATCAAACCATTAAAAAACTCTTGGTAGCTAATTCAAAACTTTTACCACTGGTAACAAAGCAACGATGGCATACATATTGGTGATCATTGCATAACATGTACTGAAATGTTTTAGTATAATATCATTTAATTCACAGTATAAACCTACAATTCCTGGGGAACTAAAGGAGCAATAACTCTCTCTTAAAACTGTAGAGAGCTTCAGCTAACATGAAGTGTGTGAAATAGCTTTATTAAATTTACACTTCCACCGAAGACAAAGCGTATGAAAATATTAGACTAACCTCACAATGGACTAGATGTGTTGAATAAGAACTATCTTCAGAATTGAGTTGTTCTTCTCGTATTATCATAATTGTCTGTCCATCTCCACTTTCAACAGTTTCATTAGCTGCTATAGTTACATGTAGAGCACCATCATTAGATTTACCATTCGAGATAACTATAAAATAAAATTAATTAAAACATAAACTATTTCTCATTATAACAAAGCATTAGATTTACAATTCGAGACCTTACATAAATTAGTCAATATTTACAACACAACATAATTAAATTTTCATAATGTAATTCTAAAAACATAACGCTAACGCTACAATATACGTCCACATTCCAATTCTGCTTTGATTGACAAGGTACTTTGTCAAGAAGGCTAGGCTTTTGGTTTGTTTAGCGTTGAGGGTCGTGCATCAACATCAATAGTTCCTGTCCTTAGAGTATAACTTATTAATAAGTATACCAAGATAATGCATTCAGAATTGTGCCTTTCACATTCCAAAGGCAAAAAGTGGGCGTGACTCTGCTCCTGGGGGTTGAGACATTCACCAAAATCAATAGTGGACTCCCTAAGGCAATAAGGAATACATATGCCAAGTACCGAGCGGCTTCATTAAGAATTGCGACCTGGGAGTCGGCTAAGCAGTTATCCTGAGGCTATAAGGAATACATAACCCAAGTTTAAAGACGATCCATTAAGAAATGTGCACTACACGACGTTAAAGCATATCACGCCGAATTTTACATGGGAGACAACTCTTTAAAGCATATCACGCCAGTTTGACATTGTTAGACGGAGTTATCTCCTCCGAACCAAGTGAAACCGAAGTCTGAAATTAAATCCCAATCTGACAAAAGTACTTAATATTCTTAAAAGACAAATTATTAATAATAAATTTGGTACTAAATTATAATAACGAATGACACCCAAACATAAGACTTTTTAAAAATGTACATCCTGAAAACGCACATGTACTTGCAGTTACATGAATTTATAATTTATTTAGTGTGAGAGAGAGAGAGAGAGAGAGAGAGACATTGTCATTGCAGTACCAAAAGGTCTTTAGCAGTGGGAGGAAAGGGGGAGAAAACGGTGGTTTGAAACGTCAACAAATAACCGGTATAAATACTTCTAACACTTACAAAGCGTTCTGAAAAATAAGTTGAACAAAGGCTCTCAGAAACCACTCACAAAAACCCGAATGTTACATGGGTGACAACTATTTAAAGCATATCACGTCAGTTTGACATTGTTAAATGGAGTTTGACATTGTTAAATGGAGTTATCTCCCCAAAATCGGGCATGCACCCAAAAGAAAAGGGACCAACCTCAGGGTATAAGGAATATGTATTTTAAGTTTCAAGATGATCGATTTAGAATTGTGGCCTGTAGGCGACACACAAAAAGAAAATTGGCATGGCTCTGCCCCTGGGGGTTGGGCATGTAGGGCCTACTCCAAATGATAAGGATGTTCCAAATGATAGGAATGTTCCTTAGGGTACAAAGAATAAGTATATAAAGTGTGGCTCTGCCCCTGGGGGTTGGGCATGTACCCCAAACGATAGGGATGTTCCTTAGGGTACAAAGAATGTGTATGCAAGATTATAAGTTAAGAAATGTGGCCTGTAGACGACAAACAAACAAATACTAGAAATGGGCGTGGCTCTGCCCCTGGGGGTCGGGCATGCACCAAAAACAATAGGGATCTTCCTTGGGGTATAAGGAATAAGTATACCAAGTTTGAAGAAAATCCAGTAAGAATTGCGCCCTGTAGGCGACACAAAGACACACGAAAAGAAAATGGGAAATGGGCGTGGCTCTGCCCCTGGGGGTTGGGCATGTACCCCAAACGATAGGGATGTTCCTTAGGGTACAAAGAATGTGTATGCAAGATTATAAGTTAAGAAATGTGGCCTGTAGACGACAAACAAACAAATACTAGAAATGGGCGTGGCTCTGCCCCTGGGGGTCGGGCATGCACCAAAAACAATAGGGATCTTCCTTGGGGTATAAGGAATAAGTATACCAAGTTTGAAGAAAATCCAGTAAGATTTGCGCCCTGTAGGCGACACAAAGACACACGAAAAGAAAATGGGCGTGGCTCTGCCCCTGGGGGTTGGGCATGCACCCCAAACGATAGGGATGTTCCTTAGGGTACAAAGAATGTGTATGCAAAGTTTCAAGATTATTAGTTAAGAAATGTGGCCTGTAGACGACAAACAAACAAATACTAGAAATGGGCGTGGCTCTGCCCCGGGGGGTCGGGCATGCACCAAAAACAATAGGGATCTTCCTTGGGGTATAAGGAATAAGTATACCAAGTTTGAAGAAAATCCATGAAGAATTGCGCCCTGTAGGCGAACCACAGACACACACACACACACACACACACACACACACACACACACAGACAGGGGCGACGGCATAATACGTTCACATTATGAATGTGGACGTATAAAAAGGATGTACTCCTTATTATACTTCATGAACTAAACTGTTTATTATACTTAATGTACCAGACTGTTTATTATACTTAATGTACCAGACTGTTTATTATACTTAATGAACCAGACTGTTTATTATACTTAATAAACCAGACTGTTTATTATACTTATACTTAATAAACCAGACTGTTTATTATACTTATACTTAATGTATCGCACTGTATATTATTCTTAATGTACCAGACTGTTTATCATACTTAGGTAATGTACCACACTATTCATTATACAATCTACTTGTATATAACTTTTTGTCATATTTATGTACCAAACTGTTTATCATACTTAATGTACCATAAAACTAACTACAATCTTCCATTAAAGATACGGAAACTGTGTGTTTTGATGACATATTTGGACTAAAAACATAATCAAACTAATTAATCTATCAAAAATTTGCTTCAAATCCCTCTCAAAACTTTATACTTGCGGTGAGATCCCACAAGCTATAAATAAACTGTTGTTAGAAGCATGGACCTTATAATACATGGACTGGTTACGAGAAGCAATATCGCTAAATGTCTGCCGTGCGAGAAAACACGAGAGAAGCGAATAGCGATATTACTCAATGTCTTTGCTAATTAGCTATAATCACCCGTTTTCATCGTTCGTTTTGTATTATAAGGTCCATGTTAGAAGTCATTACTGTCTCCTCACTTCAGTGAGGGAGGGTCCATTTTTCAGAATATATTTTTCATTACTTAATGACCATTTACCATACATATTGAGTCCTAAGTAAATTCACTATTATTTTCTGTCAATATTTTTTTCTGTTGTTTAATTGCAGAGTCTTTTGTACGCTGACACCCCTCATACTCAATGTTCCCAAACCTGCCTAACCATTTGATCAAGAAATAACAACCGCTCCCACAGTCAAGCTGGTACACAATAAGCTGGCAGACAACAGTCAGGTTGCCAGTTAGTGATACCTTGACATTTTTGCCCACTGCTTGCCCCATTGGTATTTTTTGGGTAATCCAGTATTTTTCTAGTAAGACTGGGTGTCTATACTTTACATAGATACCAAATTTGCCATACTTTTATTGGAAATAACTACCTGATAAATACTTTCGGGACAATGTATCTTTAATACACTTTTACATAAACTGTATTGATATACCTCAGTAAATATGTTATTATCACTATTTAATTCAGATGAGTAAGGATATTAAAAGTGTAGATCAATAGAAACATCATTGGTATATCAATCAAAACTACTGTCTGAGCCATCTACTTTTTAAATTAGAAATTCCAATTTACTCCTAAACAGAGCAAAAAACAATTCTAAAACCCATACCACTGAACTTAGTGTTATCTTTGGTTACTTAAATTTTAGAGTTGATTTTACAATAAAATATTCCCATAAATAAAAATGCTCCCTCTCTTGTTACATAACAACAGTAAACCCCCAACTGAATATCAGATTGGTTTTGTCTATAATGTGATAACACAGACATGGTTATGAACAACATAATCGATGTAACAAAGTAACATTTTTTTTTATTTGAGAACATTTTATTTTGGAAAACAAGTTTTAGAATGGTTTACTGTAGACTTTTGGATATTCTCCTTGTAGTAGTGTTTTGTTTGATTAGATCTAATTCCACTTAAACACTGCTGTCCAGACGAATAATTAGTATCCCAATTTATGACTGGTTGACAGTTAGGTAAACAACCAATCAATTCAAGTGTAAAAAATCAATTAACACCAGAGCTCTAAATATGTTAACATAAAAATTTATAATGGCAATCACAGCTACATTACACCACAACACAATTAATGTATTATCACTATCACTATCAGCTATTAAACAACTCAAAATAGAATATTGCAGAAAAATGAATTGTGTGACAAACAAGACTATCAAAAACAGCTGAAATGTAAAAACTGATGTCGGGCCACCTAACAGTGGTTTCAACAAACTGGATAGAATCCAACTCCGACTTCCAACAATGGAAGAGGAGACAGATTTGATTGGGCGATAGGGGTGATGGCTTGGGGGTGATGATTTTCCCTTTCAGAAAATGCCAAATTCCATTTTAAGTATTTTGAATTCCATTATTTTCCTGTTTGAGACTTGGGAGTTGACCATATTCCATGCTATTTTATTACAAAACTGATCATTTTAAACCAATGATAAGAAATATTGAACTGTGAATGACTTTTAATGTTCAATGACTAGTTATTCTTCAAAGTGATTTACCGAATTAAATAACAGAATATTACAACTTGTGGGCTCGTTTCACCTTTTAAGCAGACAAAAGTCATTTTTCTCGGCTGTTGGTTGCAGCCATGATTTATCTGTTTCTACGATAATAAGGGCTGGATTCACAAGACCACAGCATATTTGTGATGTCACATGGTTAAAGTGGATAAACACTTGTCACAAATCCGACAGTAAAAAAAAGAAGTGAATGAAATGATTTTTACTTTTATAAAATGACTAAAGCTTTTTTAAGACATATAGATATACATTACAATACTGAATTCAACTACAAAGTAATTGTACATAGGGATAAATGGAAGACAGGTTTTCGTTTCGAATAAATTTATGATTCCAAAATGATGAAATGAAAGTAGCTTGATACTAAAATAGTAATAAAACCATATGATATCGACAATAATTTCGATTTTAATGAATAAAAAGATAAAATACCTGGATAATTACAAAATTTGTTTTGAGTTTTTGTTTAATATCAGCAAATATCAGCTTTTCTGTCTTTTTTCTGTGTGAGATTTCAAATTCCATTTTGAGTGCAGATTTCCGAGATTTCCCCCTACAGACTCTGTTAAAAACCCAACTTTTGGTTTCCACTACAGCAATGACTAGAGAGGGAATTCTGGGCCATTGCTTCAGGAAAATGACTTTTGGAGTACATTCAAATTTCCAATTCAAAAAGTGCACGGCTCAGACACAGACAGTAACAGTTTAATCAACTTCTGGTTGTGAAACAGCTTTTACATTCTCTGATACAACACCCTACATGTCCAGGTACTGGGTGAATTACTATTAGTTAGTATTTATCGTAACTAAAATTGGCAGGTAAGTTCTACTGTTGCAACTCCTAGGAATTCTTCACTATTTTCCATCTAGATCACAAACCATGTTTTAATATATACACCCACATCTTTGATGGGCCACCTTTAACAAACTGATTATAATGGTAAATCTACTAGACTATTTACCTGATTCTGTATTTAAAGGTGAAGCTATACAGGCAACAGCCTGAGTCAAAGCTGGATGAATAGAATTATTCTCTAAGACTAGTTGATTTGCTGCATCTTGGTTTTCATTATTATACTGAGCAATAGATTGATTCAAATCCTGTAACCAAATGCAATCATTTTATATTTTAAAATACCCTTTTGAAATGAGTAAATGTTAAAAATACACACCAGGAGTCAAACTTTAAAAATCTAGAATTTATTGATTAACTTATTGAATGACAAAAGCATCTGCCTGCATCAATTAATTCATTCCCACTGCACCTGTCTGTACCGAATAACAGTCTTGCACAGAAAACATTTCAGAAACAACAGTACTACTAAGGCACTTCAATTAGCTTCATACAAAAATTAATACTTAAAGATTAGTTACCTGAGTAATTTGTATTTGAAAGGTAGTTTGTGGATTTCTAAAGTGGGTTTTATAATGTTTAATTGCCTCATCTCTCCTATTAAAACCATTTTTACATTTATAACAATGCCAGTGAGCTCCCTTGAATTTCTTCTCACCTTTGATGACACCAATAATATCACAGTGATCACAACATCGTAATACTTTTAAGCCTGAAAGTAAATAACAACCCATAAAATCATAATATGCTTGTTTCTAGTCTAGTCTTCAACTGCTTGCGAAGGCAAGAAATTAAACTATTTGTTTGCCAAAAAGAATTTACATTAAATCCTGTAAACTGAAGAGCAATTTGGAAATATTGTGGTCATAATTATGATTAGCAGTTTTAAAAATTTCTACCATTTTCAATGCGATAACACTTTTTCAAAATTTTATAACCACTCTGCTCTGTGTAATAGACCTTCGTAAAATTTCAACCCTTGCGTCGAAACGAATAACCTGCGGATAAAATTTTGACCCACCTGCACCGACATGTAAGAAAATGTTGACACTGATAGATTCTGATGGACAACCGACATTTCATTCATTTTCTATCCGCGTTGCCGTTCAACCCACCTACCTAGTTCTGCAGATGAATTTCTTGTCTGTTTAATTTTAACAGATTACTTTACATGTAATTCAATTTATGCTTATAATCGTACCTGCAAATTCAATGCCCTTATCAACATGTTTTACTCGAAAATGAGCCTTTAGGATAACTGGATCTTGATAAACTTCAGTTCTCACACAAAATGGACAGTGCAGATGTGGAGGTTTGTATGTACAAGATGTGGATTCACATGGTGTTGGATTAAATATATTCTCTGTTCCTTTAATTCGTACGCTAGGGTGAGCCTGAAAAATAAATAGGTAGGCTTACACTGACTGTGGTTAACTAGACTTATTAATCAACACATATCATCATTTCATCACCGAAAAAAGTTGTCAATAACCATATACAAGTACCTGTACCTGTCTTGGTTTTAGATGATTGTCTTTTGTGTTCTTCAGTCTCAAGAACTTTACCTGCTTTATTTGTAACAACTAAGTATTTCACCTTTAATTTCACTGCTTATAAAACACAGTTTTGCAACAAGCTAGGTAGACCATATTTACAACTCAAAAGGAACCCCGCCTTACTAAAAGAAATACCCTTTTTTATGTGAAATGAACGGTACCACCACATTTCGGTCTACAGTGCCATTTCTGACTCAACACATGCAACCTTTTCGGACTCAGTTTGACAATGGTTCAGAGTTACTTTCAAGACAACTTTTTGGACTCGGTCTCACAATATTTCAAACTCGGTTTCGGACTCAAATGTTTAAAAATAAAAGACTTGAATATTTGTGTGATATAGTAACCTACATTTGTAGTAACAGTTGTTTTTTTTTTTTTTCGTTTATGTGAAGCTGATAGTTGTCTTTTGTTTTATTTAATTGATCTCTAATAAAAGATTAACACTGCTTGTTCTATTTTGTTTCATCGGTTAATACTGAACTTGACAATAAATTATTGTTGAAAATTTGAGTAAATTTAGTAATACTTTGTTGACTTCTTTTATCAAACAATAAACGAGCTTGATTGACCAATCACTGCTAATGTTTTTATAATTGTGAAAGCCTAATTGTCTTTTACGTGAAACGGAATAATTACAATCAATCAACACAAAGCCGCCATTATCAATGATTGACAAATTATGTTTTTACTCCTCCACCAAAGAACCTTAAGGTTTCTTTGCACTCACTACAATAACATCAGGATTATCGATTAATTAGCTTTGATTGTTTTGGCTGATTATAAATTAATTTGTCAGTGTGTTCAAATTTCTTTTCAACTTATTCCCAGAGTCCGAAACGTTACCTACCGAAATGTCACCTGCCTGAGTCCAAAACGTCGAAGACATATTTTTGGGAGTTCGAAATGATGCGGGCACTAAATGACATATTATAATATGGTACTAGTGGCAGCTAGTGGTAGTGGTATAATCAAATGAACCCTACGGCCAGATAAGAATTAGAAAACATTAATATTTATCATCATCATGCAATTAATGTTTAAAACCATGCAATAAAAGTACAAAATCTACACGCACATGCTACATATTATTGTACAGGTAGGCTAAAAAAAAATATACAGTGATGAGCAGACAGTTTCTGTTAGAAAAGTAGGCTACGAGTAGGCCTACCGAGTACCGTACTCAACTTGCTTGAGACAGTTTATAAATATTTGTAGAAAACAGTAGAACTCAAGGGAAAATGGAGACGAATGAAATGATAGCATGTTGGAAGGTCTACATATATAATCTATTCTTACCGCAAACGCAAAAGAATTCATGTCAAGAGCAACTTTCTGTGATATCTTTCACAATTTGTTTATTCTTGGTGTGTTATTGTTGATAATTTAATTTCCCTCCGTATATCTTTGTGTTCACGTCATGAAAATTACGGTAGCAGGTTTAGTGACGTCACACTTCTTGCATACCGTGAAGTCCGCTAGGTGGCGATAATTGTACAGATATTTTGCGGTCTAAGAGAAATAACTCTTGTTATCTCTCCTCATAACCAGGGTTCAGACTGTTAATCTTTTTCTCCACAGATGCCATTCCTTGGCCAAAAACCATGGACATTATTATACAAGGTCCCTAAAACATTTTTTGAAACATTCCGATGATCACCTTAATCCTGATAACCACAAATACCCCAACACGCCCTGATCATCTGATTAAAATTACTAGAGTTGTTGTATGACCTTTTCGATTCTCTAGTCTAGACTCTACTTAGAGTTAGACACCACTAAAGTCTAATAATAATCTCTAGTAATAATATTAGCTTATTTAAATTACTTCATGCTATGTCTGTTTTAGACCTAATCGTTCCCCTCCCCACAAATCATAAATATTTGCCAAAACCCGCCAGAAAGTAGAATGAAACGGCGAAATAAGGGGATAAAATTACCAGTCTCATAGTCTCAGTCCCATTTTTTTAATTCCATATAGTTGTAAGTCTTAGTCCAAATTCTGGACCATTCAGTCGCACTAGTGTGCTATACTAACCGAGAATTTTATATTTTTCTAATCTCTTAAAATGACATGTCACTGAGAAAATTATTGAAGTAATAGAACTCCATATACAAATTGCTTGCCGAATTCGTAATTTGATGAAAATTATTTTTTTGATGTTTTAAAGAAATTATCGCCAAACTTTTATATTTTCGATTAGTTTTGTCTATTTCGAAGGCCAAGTCAATAACTTCCGGGGCATAGCACGATTACGAATTTGAGTAGTCCTCAGGGAATGAATCATTTCTTCTAAATTTCTTTCTTTTTCAAGGGTCTCACAGAAATGGTTTGAAAAAAAGAATATGGGTAACTCTCAAGAGAAGTTACCACTACGAAAAACACAGTCAGTTCCTGATACACAGGTAAATTGTAGTGTAAAATGTCGGACACTTTCGAAGTTTCGTGCCTAGCCTAGCCTACTGTCCATATTGAATATTCAATTGGCTAAAACAAAAATAGATGCATTACTAGCCAGGCACAATTCTTAAGGGCACCTCAACACCCGATGGCGTCGTCAGAATTGAGAAAAGATTTAAGGGAACTTACTGGTATTATTATGAATGTAAAAATTGTTTGAATAGAACAAAATGAATCAATTAAACATATAACTATAATAATAACCTAGCTAATTACTACAAAAGACAGCCTGGTAACAAAACTTCACTATCAAGATATGATCGTGTTGGGCGTTTTAGCTACAATTCTATATTTACCTAATCCAACCCATTAGATATTACGCATTTATGTACTGATGTCATGACATCTAACATCCAAAAAGCAAAAACACACTTTAATTTGATAGCAATACTTTATTCAGTGGATGCCACAATTAATTTCAGCTATGTTCTCGCTTCGTTTGCAACTAGAGACGGAACATTATTTGACTTCCTTTTCAATGTGCTTCTCGTCTAGGTTAAGGTAGTTCCTTAAGGAACTAGGGTTATGGTTACTATATCAAGACAACTCGGACCAAGAACACTTGGACGTCTTGGACCAATAGAATACCACTGGGACCAAGATTAGGAAACCACTCGCACAAACAAATAAAGTGAAAATTTATTTGTTCTTATATGTTTTCTTTGAATACCAATCGTACCAATTTTCTATTGGTCCGAGTGGTCTTTTGGCCCGAGTTGTCATGCATTTAAGGTTACGATTTGATTTGATACATACTTTTGATTATTATTGTTTGCATCATCTGTGTATATGTTTATTGCTTGTCTTTTCGGCAGGTTTGTCTGATGGGTTTTGTTTATGTGTGTTGCCACACATTATTGCCACTTCCGTTCATATTGTCAAATATGGATGTTAACGAACGCTCAGCAAGAAGATGACATTCTGTCTTTAGCCACATGTCTAAACTGTCAGCACTGTTGACACAGATATTTTGATCAAAGGATTTGACGTAAAATATTGAACAAACGTTCCCAGCATGGCTTTGGGAAAACATGTACACAAAAGTGATGTTGTTACAAACGTTTTTTTTACTGGACTGTTTGTCAGTGAGTTTTATTGTTTTTCGGTGATGGATAACTGAATCAGTTAGAACGTGTGGAAGTTAACCATCTCTGGTACCTTTTATCTCTTGAGTATTTCTTCTGCCAAAAAGCCTTAGCATTTGCTGCTAGTGTGTGTTTGGAGTATTTTTAAGCCTTGTTTAGAGACTATCTTTATTTTGTACTTACAGAACCTGTCTATAAATGAGGATTTTAAAAGAAATAAAAGCCGATTTTCCAATCGTCTTTTCAAGTTTGGATCATCAAAAGATTTAAGTAGAACTAAGATTACAAGCAATGGTAAGGGAGTTGATGAAACAGATAAAGCTCAGTGGAATGTACCATGGTCGGAGGCCTTGTTTCTTCCAGATTTTCCTATTAGGGGAGATGCCGAGGAACAGGATTATGTGGTAAGAATATTTCGATGTATATTTTGGGTGATAATTGGTTTGATCATAAATTCAAAATTATAGTTTTAGTTGATTTTGTATTTATTCTAGCATATACTGCGAGTTGTATCTAAAGAAAATAGCTTCTTTTCGATGGATTGAATCTGGAGATTATAAGTGATCTGTATGTGCTGTCATTCATTATAGAAAATTCTACTGTTGATCTGATTTGTTCTCCCCCGGACCAGTTTATAAAAAAAAAAAAACCATAAACCTACTCAAATTAGTACAGTATCTTAAGAAACCACGGTACTATTTCCATAATGGCCAGTAAATCAAATTTCCTTTTTAGGCCTTTCTGTTCCTCACAGAAGATTTTCATCAATAGCTCTGTATTTGGAAGCTTAAAATAGAATTTACATTTAACCACAAAGCATTATGTTTTATAGACTAAGTAAGACCTAACTCATAGTTGAACATAAACGATATATTGAATGAAGGAAAGGTTTTCCAACGTTGACTTGCTGATCTTGAAATTAAGATTTTCTTAAAACAGCACTTAATAACAAAAAGTGCCATAGCTAAAAAGAGATGCTGCGATACTCTGTTACTTCCTTTTTGTTTTGATCTTCTACAGCAAATATTGGTTTTGCCGTGGTTAATTTCAAGAGCCAGACGTGGGATTCTTGGAAATCAGAGGGTTTTCACCTTTCAGTTAATTTCATACCATTTGACACCATCAATTTTAGGATATATTACTTTCTTGATCACAATTAAACCCCTCACCCCATCTATCAAATCTTGTTTCTTTCCTGTTTAAAACAATCATTGTTTATATAAGCTCAACCACCAAATATTTTGCTGGATCTAAGAACTTTTGAAAAGCCAGCGCCACTAACATCCTCATTAAAATATGTGACATCATCCGAAAAAAATGTGCTATTACTGTCTGCAGACAGCACAGATAACGTCTTTTATTCCTGACCATTTTGTATTTGTCCATATAGGTGATTGAAACACTTGCTAAAGGTGCCTATGGAAATGTACAGAAAGTACAGAAAGAGGATGAGAAGAGATTCTATGCAATGAAGGTGAATATTATTTTATAAATATCTTTATTTGCAGTAACTTGAAATCAGGGCTGCCGACAACCAGTATCGCAGCGCAATTTGCGATACATATTTCGTCCGTTGGTAACCAAAAATTAAAATCTGACGTTTTTGATTCGCAGTTACTGCGAATCATTAATGTGCCTGTCATTTTGGATATTGTCACAAGAATAATCCACATTTTGAGACTAGAAGGCTTACTCAACACTTTCAACGTGTATAAAATGTTGAATAAAATTTTATAAACAAAACTGAATTCTCCGTGTGACATTTTCTTCTCGAACTACCCAGACACAATACTATATAACACAGGGACATAACTCTATGAATAGGGACTATTAAACCGGAAATAGGGAATCAAGTAGTCGCACTCACGTTGCGAGACATCAAGTAATTATATCATATTCATTTTGAAATATACTATTCAAAAAAAGTAGGGGATATTTGATTTTTAAGTGTTATTAAAGTCACCTAATGAAACTGACGAAGAAACAAATGACAAAATGAAATGAAGTTCACATTCATCGATTTATTCCAAATGATCGTTAGACTAAGTAAGGCACAGACTGACCATTATAAGGGTAAAATGATACCCGGGGTCAAACAGCAAAGTTACCACAGCATCACAACCAAGTCAGTAACGGGTAAATCCTCCTCTGTTTGCCAAACAAGCATTGATCCGACGTGGCATACTCCTAATGAGACGTCTAAGGTCATTTTGGTCCAGATTGTCCCATTCCTGTTGCAACGCAGCAGCAAGTTCTTGGACATTGGCAGGACGTTGTTGACGTTGACGTAACCTCTGTCCAAGCATGTCCCAGACATGCTCGATGGGGGAGAGGTCGGGACTCAGTGCTGGCCAAGGTAATGTGGTGATGTTCTGTTGTTGGAGGTAACCTGTAACGATCCTGGCCCTGTGACATCTTGCGTTGTCATCCTGGAAGATGAAACGGCGGCCATGACGTCGTGCGAACGGCACAACATGGACTGCCAAGATGTTGTCCCGGTAGTACTGGCCTGTAACACGCCCTGCAACAACATGTAAAGCCGTTCTTCCAGCAACAGTGATGCCTCCCCATACCATAACAGAACCACCCCCAAATCGATCATGTCTGATGACGTTAACGTCTTGGAAGCGCTCGTTTCGACGACGCCACACCCTCCTACGTCTGTCCAAAAAATCAACAGTGAACCTTGACTCATCTGAAAACATCACATTGCTCCAGCGTCGATTATCCCAGTGTTGACGATCCCTACACCAACGACGTCTTGCCTGAATGTGATGATCTCTCGAACAAGGGATCACGCGAGGACGTCGGGCGCGAAGGTGACCCCTATGCAGTCGATTCCGAATCGTCTGGCCACTCACTCTCACACCAGTGTCTGTTTGAAGACGAGCGCTGATCTGATTTGCTGTGATGACACGATTTCTCAAGGCCAAGGTACGGATAAATCGATCCTGGGCTTGAGTTGTCGCCCTTGGTCGACCTGAGCGTGGTCTGTCCTGTACAGATTGTGTATCACGGTATCTGGACCATAGCCTGCTTATGACAGACTGAGAAACATTCATCGTCCGCGCCACAACCGCCTGTGTTGTGCCGATCTGTAGCATGCCAAGGGCACGTAACCTTTCATTTTGGGTAAGCCGACGCATATCAAAATTTGTTTTCTGGTCACTAAAACAATTAAACTGATGTTTCCACCCTGGAATTCAATGCCACAATGACTGTAACATTCAAAGTCAGAGTCGTGCAAATCTTGGGTTGGACCCCCATGATGATCCCAAGCATCACCTGCATTCCATGCGGTAGCTATTGGTGTGTTTGGGCGTCACATGTAACTGGAAATGTTTCTTCTGTTAGGTTCTATAGTGACTTTTTTCGTAGTCATTTGCATATTTTAGTATTATGCCCCCAAAATCAAATATCCCCTACTTTTTTTGAATAGTATAAATAACTCCAGTGTATCGCACGTATTGTAAATAAAATATAAAAAAATAAATACATGTTAACGTATTGTAAAATGATAAATCAAAGTAAAAATTCCCGTAAAATATTATTGTTTATATCGCGTGTGTCTAGTTAATCGAGGTGCGCCCGATTGAACAAAAATAGTAATACACGATAAAAAGCAGACGAGATCGTTTTCTAACGAAGATTTCTAACGTAACAAAAAAATAACAATTAAAATGAGTGGGGCTTCGGAAGTCACTGTCAAGAATTGGCTTCAGACATAAGACCTAACTAAATGTCTACATCACATTTATAAACTGTCACAAGTACTTGTGGCAGTGCTATAAAAATCTAAGAATAGTCAGAATGGAATCTAATCATATTTGTTATGAATTAAAGTAATATCTAGGTATTTACATTGAAACTGAAAAACTGCTAATCAATTTTTAAATTTGCTAATCAAATTTGGCAAAATTGGACTTTTTGATTAGCAGTGCTGCTAATCAACTGTGAAAAATGACCGACAGCCCTGCTTGAAATCACTAACCTCTTATCAGTTGTCACAAAATGAGATTGCTGGTCCTGAGTGTTATATCAGAAATCAAGTCAGAGATACTTACTTTTATGGTGCTTTTTATAGCTTTACTTATGGTTGAATATCTGTGAAGAGGAAGGTAGAGATAATGATTTGAAGTGCCAAAGGGCTATTATATTCTTTCTTCATAGATTAATACATGATCCATAATCAGAAGATAACACAGAAAGTCCTATTGGAAGTCCCAGTTCCTTAAGACTGTTTTTTTCTACATGTATGTTAAAATTATTTGACTAGTGAATAATTAGACACACATCACTTTTATACATTAAAGATACATTACGGGAGATTAGATAAATAGCTGGCAGTTCTTACTATAATAGTTAAAACTAGATAATGTAAAGGCAATTTGCTGAAAATTTCACTCAAATTGAATCACTATGAACCAAGAATTAAGCAATTGAAATTTCGACCTAGCCTCGATCATCATTACTAAAGTGGGTACGATGAAAAACATTGTCTCGATTATCCATTTCATGATTAAATCATGAATGGAAGTCGAACAGCAAATCGGAACCTAATCCAATAAACATCGCAGACTAGCGATGACATCGAGAGTTGATTATGGTCTGGATAAGTTAATTAATGTCTAATTAATAATTTAGATAACATTTCAGACCTAAAAAAAGACCTGCAATAGGCAGATTATTTTTGATAGTAATGTAAATTGATATGATGTAAATTGCCAGCGTGACACATCTATGAAATATATTAATTTGAGTTCTCATGAATATGGTACTTGCATCATAGGATACTGAACATATCAGTATTGTGATGATCTTACTTCTCTTGACAAAATTATTTCTCTGAAACAAAAACAGTTGTTTTTTTGTACACTAAATTTTCATACAACTTAAATTCTACCTGACATTATGCTTCTGGTAGATAATTACAAATGGATAGACTTGTATACAAGGAGAAAGTGTCTTATTCACAAACATTTGATAAAATCTCCATTGATTTCAAATTATTTCCTTCATGTTTGAACTTTATTATGAACGGCTGCCTGCTTTTTAGCAAAATGTTTTGAAGCTATGTCAGTAATTTGCATCAAACTGATTGGGATGCTGAATCTACATAATTTAATGCTTTAATACTTCACAAGGTGCATGTTACTTCTCTCTGATTAATTTACGGATTCAATTACAAATAAAAAAATGAGGTTTAACGTCCTACTGTTCTGCTCCTTCTGGTCTAATGAAGACGGGCATATGCCATACAGTGTGCTATGAGGGATATTTTGCCTGTACATATCGAATTCCAACTGCCAAGGGATCTTTTACATGCACGCCTATTTGTACATGGTATCTCTGTTTTTAGTCCCATCGAAACGACTTTAGATGACTTTCCTGGTCAGGCCTACGTCCTGCACCGCTGGCAAGGGGTAAACCATGCCAGAAAAGGATACAATTACAAGTATCCTACACTGAACTACATTAATAGTATGATTATTGATATATGTAAATGTTGCTGCTTTGCTTACATTGAAATGGTTTGATAATTCACCATTCTCTATCAATTTTGTGGTTATAATGATGGAATTATGTTTTATCTCAGATATTAGAAAAACAACAGATAATAGATGAAAATGCTATTCAACAATGTAAAGATGAGGCAGCAATACAGGTATGATAATTATTATTATTATTATATTACATTGTGCTTTGACACAGTAGACTTGGAATATTATGGTCAAGAATCCCTACATATGGAATTATAGACATTGAAATTTAAAAACTGAATTTAAAACTTGAAAGCTGTTGATAATATTATTATTATTATTGAGTATTTTATTTTATTTTTTTTAGTAAGAGCATTCCTGTGCAAAAGATCAATATCAGTTATTTGCCATAGAAATTGTTATAATTTTTATATTGTATTGAAGATTAACATGAACATATTGAAAGTTTTACTTACAAGTTACTTGATTAAAAGAAATTGAAATAAGAAACAAATGACCAGTGTGTACATATTTAAAACATTTTGATGAAATTAATAAACAAATTGATTTGAAACTTGATATATAGGCCTACATGTCTGTTGATAACTGGCTGGATAAATAGATTATATCTCATTTGATGCTCCTTTAAAAAAAATATAGTAATTCTCTTGGAAGGAAAGTGTATTTTTTAAAACTTTTTTTTACAGTCAATGCTCGGAGATCATCCATTTATTGTCAAGATCCATGAATATTGGCAGTCAAAAGAACATCTGTATATAGGTAGGGTACCAGTTTCATGCTTTGAATATTAAACATACATTACGCAAGAGCTAAATCTGTCTATTGCAGGTCTTTCTTTAGACCTGAAATATAATCTAAATTATTAATTAGACATTAATAAACCTATCCAGGCCATAATCAACTGATCAAGGCTAGGTGGAAATTCAATTGCTTTGTTCTCGGTTCATAGTGGATCAATTTGAATGAAATTTTCAGCAGATTGCCTTTACATTATCTTATCTTTAACTATTATAGTGAGAACTGCCAGCTCTTTATCAAATCTCCCATAATGTATCTTTAAGGAACTTTGTTGGGCAAGATTTGTATTTGAACAATTGATGTTTGAGAAATGTTAATGGTCATTTATATATGTACATGTATATTGAAGAAGTGTTATGAAATTTGGCAAATTTTGTTTATAGATGAAAGACACAATAAATATTATTTAACAAATCTAGAGTCCCTTGTGTAAAAATACCTTTTCACGGTTAAAATTGATCTAAATTCTATCTATATTTATAAGATAATATTTTTTTTTAATTTCAGTTTTAGATTATGTTCCTCATGGTGATTTGTTCTCATTATGGACATTCCATACCATGTTTCCTGAACGATTAGTTCGTATTTATATAGCTCAAATGGGCATGGTCTTAGGTAATAAATCATTTCTTAATTGCATTTTATAATTCACTCACAGTATGGCCAGATCAGTTGAATTTTCAGTTAATCAAAAACCTTAAATGTCGACAAAATGTACATATTTTCAGACCTTTGAAATGGTCATGTTCCTAGTTCAAATTAGAAAATAATATTACTGAAATCCAGAAAGGTACATGTATTCAAAGAAATTGATAGAAAAAATAATTATTTTAAACTAGTTTCCCTTTACAAGTTTTGTGTAAGCATTAAAATTTGTTCACTATATTGATGTTTGATAGTTACATTCCCTTCTTGTACTGCAGGACCCACGGTGGCTCAGTGGGTAAGACCTTGGCTCGCTAACCCGGAGGTCCCGTTTTCGTTCCCTGTGTTGGCCAAGAAAGTTCCATCAGGATTTTCCGGGCATTGTTCCCCCTTGTCAGTGGTGCAGGACAGAGGGACTGGCAAGGGACAATGTATAGTCATTAGGATGGGATGTAAAATCAAGGTCCTGTGTGCAGATTGGCTTGGAAGTAAAAGATCTCTTGGTAGTTGGAATTCGATATAAGAGTAGGCCATAGAGCCGCTGTCTGGGCAAAATGTCTCTCGTAGCACATTGTATGCTCGTCTTTATTAGCTCAGTTGAAGCAGAACAATAGGACGTTAAACCCTATTTCATTTTATTTCTTGTACTGCATGGTAGATAGGTTGATAATATTTATACTTTTTTGTTATTACAGATCATTTACATAACTCAGGTGTTATTTACAGAGATGTAAAGGTAAATATAATTATTCCTTCTAAAAAAAATGCATCTTGTCAAAATATTATTACAATAAATATCCATCTTAAAGGGCCAGTCTCGATTATATTTTAGAGAATAAAACTGCTTAATTTTGTGTTAAAAGCCCATAAAATCCTCTACTTTGGGGCTGAGCAACTAACTCAGTATACGTGATACGTTTTCAAACAACTTAATCCCGTCAGACTTAATCAGGAAATGAAGATCTGTGTCCCAAAGCTGTATTATACAGTGTCTGGATAAAACCAGACTTAGAATTTTATAAAAATAATGTGTAGATGAAATTTACCTTCCATTATTAAGCACAGCATGTGGGTCATGCACTGTATAGACCTCTAAAGGAACGGCAATAGATTATCTGGTCACCCAACGATAAAATTGACCCGAAATCTTAAAAGGGTTACGTGTCCGGATAAGCGGTTTTGACGTTCACACCTAATCGACTCAATATTTTGAGCTGAAATTTTTAGACAAATTAAATTCATCATTCCTCTATATTTTGGCTCTTAAATTTCTTTTGTACAAAGACTTTTATTTCTGAGACTCTGTTAAAATCTGGATGGTCCCTTTAAAAACTAATATTTTTGATATCGGTAGATCACATGCCAATAGAAGAAATAATAAAAATGAGTTAACCATAAACATTACCTATCAATATACATTAGTACATGGCTTACCAATAACCTATACTGAAATTTTGATCGATTAGCTAGTTTACAATCAGATACAATTTTTCATTTAATTTATTTATATATAGAGAAATTTCTTTATGATGCCTGAAACCTATGAATACATAGTATAGTCAAATAACTATCTTGTATCTGATTGAGATTCATCTTTAAAATAAATTGTTGCCTCCATCAGTGTATCAATGTTAGCTAGCAATTTTTTAAACTACATTTTCTATACTTACAGATGGAGAATATTTTATTTGATCCACAAGGTAAATATGGAATGCAAATGGTGTCATATATTTAGTCCATAATTGTTATATATATGTCTCACTTGAATTTTATAATTTAAATACCAAACTATTTTCAACAAAAAAAATAAATGAATGGAAAGTTCGGTGAAAATTCAATTTTACTAATGATTTTTAACTTCAATTTTACTCATGATTTTATTTCAGGTAACGTTCAATTAATAGACTTTGGCCTTGCCAAATGGTTACAAAAGACTGAACGAACCAGGACAGTATGTGGAACATTACAGTATATGGGTATGATTATACACTTTTTTGATTCTCATGTTTTTAGAGTTACTGCCCCTTAAAGATACATTGTCACAAAAGTATTTATCGGGTGGTTAGTTCCAATAAAAGTATGGCAAATTTAGTATATATGGAAAGTATAGATGCCCAATCTTACTAGAAAAATACTGTATTACTCGAAAAACATCCATGGGGCAAGCACTGGATAAAAATTCAGGGTATCACTAACTGGCAACCGGATGGCTTAATGTATGCTAGCTTGACTGAGGGAGCGGTTGTTATTTCTTGAACAAATGGTTAGACGCTTTTGGGAACATTGAGGGGTGTAATCGTATAACAGACTGCAATAAAATGGTGGAAAAAGAAGTTGACAAAAAATAATTCAAGAATTTACTTAGGCCTCAATATGTGGTAAATGGACAATAAGTAATGACAAATACATTCTGAAAAATGGAACCTCCCTCAATCAAGTTTTATAGTATGGGGTATCGTATCTCCCCACGAATACCAAGTTTTTAGAGGGATTTGAAGCATATTTTTGATAGATTAATCAGATTTAATATTTGTTTTTAATTACATATATAAATTCTGTGATATTCTTTTAATTTGTCTTGTTAAATTCACCACATGTTTGGCGCAATATAGCCCGGTTGGAGCTGACGTTCCATAAAATTTCATTTCGTTTTTAGCTCAAATATATCATCAAATTACCCAGTTTGTATGCGGGAAAGTAGCCTATCTTGAACTATTTTTAAAATTATTTTTCATTTATAGAAAATTATAAAGAAAAAAGACATAGAAGCTTTTTAAAATTTACATGTCTTATGTATTTTACTTACAGCCCCAGAAGTATTAGCTATGTGGGTATATGATCATGCTGTAGACTGGTGGTCATTAGGTATTTTGATGTATGCCATGTTATGTGGCAAGGTAAGACCTAAAGATTTCACCAATATTTTACAACATCAAATGCACTTTAATTAATGTAGACACCTTCCTTCATGTAAAATATAAATCATTGTAAATTTTCTTAATATAATCTGTATTTTGATGACTAATCGACTGTATGTGTATGTTTTAGTATCCTGTTGATGGTGCTAAAGACCATAAAGATATGGCTAAACATCTAGCAGACTGTGATTTTTTAATGCCAGGCACTATTAGTGATGATGCCCAGGATGTTGTAAATAAAGTAAGTACCATTTAAAGTAGCTAAGTCTCTAACTCAATATCATCCAAAATCTTCGACATTGAAAATATGATTTATTTGTCGGTTTAAATCAACATTAATGTTGTGATCTTACCGGGAAAAGATGGCCTTCTGATATCCAATATTTAAGACAAAATAAACATTTTACAATTGGTACACGAATCGTGTACCATAATGCGTTTCAGCGCTATTTGTAATAAGGGACTCGAAAAACGAGGCTAGGCATATTACACAAGTCATGTCAAACGGTGACGCTATATTCTTATCTGGAGAGCATGCCCAATCGGCGTAGACTGGAATAACCAGATGCTAGAGATTGAAATTCGATTGAGAATACTGGCGTAACTGATTAGAAATTACAGTAAAAACAGAAACGATTGAATGTAAATCAATTTATATACATTCATATTACATTATTGTATGCGTTGCGACCCATTTATGTCAATTTCTAGGTCCCAAATATTAGCAACTTAGCTCCTTTAATATATTCTTTATATACTCTTCAAAAAAAGAAACACAATTTTATTTTTTATTTGAACGGGATCATTGTTTCCATAAATCTTACTTGTTTTTAATGTCATTATGTAAGGATAAAAAAAATCATTATTGGTTTTAAAGGTAGGGTCACTAATTATGACTTGATTGCACCAAGACACATGAGTTTAACAACTTCGCATGCTTTTCGCATGAAACCAAATCTAAGGCCTTTAAAATTCTGGGGTTCTCGGTTTCAAAATCAGTTGCACATGTAGACACTCAATGAGCCAAGTGATGCCATGTGAATCCCAGATAGATGTAGCCATGTATTTTTATTTTTTGCTCAAATAACCAAAGTACCTGATTTATAAAACTACATTTTGTTTCTTTTTCAGTTATTAACCAAAAATCCGTTGAAAAGACTTACAGATCTCAATACCTTCCAACATTTACCTTTTTTTGAAAATCTTAATTTTACAAGTTTAATAGAACGCAAGGTACTCATATGATAAAATATCTCAAAAATTGAATTTAAAATACAACAGGTTTAATATATTTTTTTTCTTTTCCATTCGAATGGGCAAAACATAGTTCACATATATACTGTTGGAAGCATGTTAAAGATCCCCTGGCAGTTGAAAATTAAAATAAGTAGGCTGTTGTGAAAAATTTCCCTTCTAGCACAATGCATGGCGTGTACCCCATTTAATTTCTTTATAATTCTTTAGTAACATGACAAAATTGACATTTCTGCTGGCTTATGATTTTCTATTACATGTTACTGATTAGACTCTTTTGATAAGGTCCTTTAGTGGTTATGCTCTTTTAATTGGAAAGAATTTTCAGTATCTGAGATTTATATCTTGATTTGTAGATTGATCTGTGTATTTCATTCTTCAGATTACTCCTATGGATGTTGTTCCTCGTGACTTTTTTCCCATGACTGGTTTAAGCTGGGCACCTTTTGTTGCAGATTCTGAAGAGGAGAAAAACTTTCAAGGCGTAAGTTATTAATCTATCTATGGAAAAAATAAAAACCTAGGCTAAGTATAATATGCCTATTCAACAAATTGCATCTCATTCTTCTTAAATGTTGTTAGTACAGTAATGTTGTCTCTGTGGCTTAAATATGTATTATGCAAGGTTTAGATAAAGAGCCAACAGGGATATATTGAAATTTTCAGTCAAATGACTGTTTGAAGAGAATAGCGTAGTCTCGATTATCCAGTTTTAATTTAAATTATTAAATGGCATCTTGTTTTAGTCTGTTCAAAATCCCAACCTGGGCCATGCGTGAGCTAGAGAGTTGATTATAATGCAACCTGTAGTAATAGTGTTATTAAAATACCTACAAAGTTGGAGCCACAGTGGCTCAGTGAGTAAGATGTTGGCTCACTAACCTGGAGATTCCATGTTTAATCCTTGCATTATCCCAGAAAGTTCATCAGGATTTTCCGGCATGGTTCCTCCTTGTCAGTGATGCAGGACGGAGGGCCTAACAACGACAGCTGTCTAGTCGTGCGGATGGGACGAAAAACCGAGGTCCCGTGTACACATTGGCGTGCACATAAAAGATCCCTTGGCGGTTGGAATTCGATATAAGGGTAGGCTGTAGCGCTGCTGCCCGGGCAAAATTTCCCTCATAGCACACTGTATGACGTATGCCCGTCTTCATTAGCCCAGGTTAGGAGCAGAACAGTAGGACGTTAAACCTCATTTCATTTCATTTCACAAAGTTCTTGATTTGATTCTACATCTTAAAAAGTCCAGATCTTAAGCTTATGCTTCAGTTTATCTTGAAAGATACGTGGATATACATTTGACATTCAGCTTCCTATTTACTTCACTTAGAGTATATATCCAAACAACAGAGAAACTACATTTCTTGATGGTGGAAGCAACATATCTTAAGAGGCATGAATGGGAAGCCCTATTCTTATTTAGATCTATAAATACAGCCATTACTAGTCCAGCCAGCACCTAGTGATAGACGAAGTGTGTGTGTAGTGTATAGCTATATGCTATTCTGCGCACACTGTAGCCTTTCTTTTCATCTGACAAACTTTGGATTGACTGTTAAGGATTTCTATCTTATTTTAATTATGGTGATGTTACTAATCACTAAATCATTAATTTTATTTTTCTAGATTATTAGAAATATACTGAGAGTTAAAACTTAGTTTTTGGATTTCACTAGATGGTCATTAACCTCATGGGAACACTTCTTTTATGGATTATGCACATCTTATAAGTTATTATATTTTCACATTTATTGTATGAAATGTCTGTATTACAGTTTGATGGAACTAATTGTGTATGGAATTTGCCAGAAGACACAGTTCCTGTATTTGTTTAAAGACAGTAATTTATCAAGCACAGGAAATTCTTTATATTTTAAGACATTTTTTTTTATTAACATCTGAAAATTGTTATGGAATTTACCAGACAGTTCCCGTATTTGTTTAAAAACAGTAATTTATCAAGCTAAGCAAAAGAAGTTCTTTTTGTATAAAACATTGTTTTATTAACATCTGACAATAATTGTGAGTGAGTGATTGTGTAGTCAGATGGTGTTGTTCTTGTGTTGGTTCGGACCATATCACAGCTCAAACCTTGTTGTTATTAAATATAAATGTATTGTTATTATTTGTGTGTGTGTGGTTGTATTTTGTTTTGTTGTGCAATTCTAAGTGAATGATTAAATCACCTGAGGTTGTAATGTTATGTATTTTTTTTTAGAGATGATACTAGATTAACCCGATCCTTAATTACAGCATTAATTAGCATTGCATTTATAATGATAATTGTGCCTATGTAACATATTTATTAAACTTAAATCATAATTTTATGGCAGGACCATTATCATTTCATTTTTTCAATTTCATTCAATCATTCATTCAGAAATTTAAATTATCTATGCAATTTATGACATTAAATTTTTGTAATTATATTTTGCTATACATGTAATATATAATTACAACATATTTAGAGCTTTTTGTACATATCAATTACTATAACCACAGTCACTTCTATTTTTTAAACTATATTTTATTATACATTTTCTGAAACCTTACCTAAACTTACGGACATGTAGTTAATGCATCTATTATAGTACAATACAAACAATTGGCAGATGTTATAGCTGATGCACCACATCACAAACCACAGTGGCCCAGTGCAGGATCAATGAACAAGAGGCCCTGCGTTCTATGCCGATGTTTTCCCTTGTCAGTGGTGCAGGACATAGAGTCTTGCAAGGAAAAGCATCTAGTCATTCGGATGGGATGAAAAACATAGGTACACTTGTGTTCTCTTTCACTTTCACTTTAAAGACTCTATGACAGTTTAATGAAAAGTTGGTAAAAATGCTGCTCACTGGGTAATATTTCCCTTGTAGCATTCTGTTAGTGCAGAAACGTGAAATTTAAATTCACATTTTATTTACTAAGCCATATCAACACCCAACAAGAAATTTAACAGAAATGTGAATTATTACAAGCGCAGTATTAACTGACAATATTATCATGACTTTGTGTTAAAATTTTTTAAATCAGCATTTGCTATTAATAATAGAAAACAACTGTGTTTATCATTAAAAAAATATCAAAATTTTATTGGTATTTTAAATTTCATATTTTTAAAAGATATGTATTAGTCTCAAATTAACGAAAGCAAGTGTTCACCAGAAATAATTTTTTGTTATTACATATCACTATTTTAAACATGTGGGTTTCAATATGATGGCAGACATGACTGTATTTAAAGTACCCGAATTTGTCAAAAATTGTGAATTGTAAAGTGTTCTTTATAATTGCTACCTTCATTGAAGTGCTCTGATTGCACAATTATATACAAGGAAATATTTGAATGATAACATTATTTATATTGATCATTTTCCTACCTATTGTCTTTTTATCAAAATAATCAGTAGAAAAATATAGAGTTATAAATGTAGTAAGCGAATTTATACATATTAATATTGTCTAAAAGTACACCCCACAAAAAGAGTAAGCAAACCGAGAAGTGAATGGATCAAGCAACTATTATATAGTCTTAGAAATCTTGATATCAATATACATTTGTACCAGGACTCATTTACACTTGAATGCTACCAGGGTGGTTGAGTAATCTAATGTGTGCATTTTAGATATCATTATGTCTTTTGGCATGGTTTGATCCCAAGCTTGTATTTGAAAAGGATTAGGGTCGCTTCCCAACCTGTGGGCTTTCTCTGGGTCCTTTGGTTTCTTTCCACTGCTAAAACCATGTACGTGCAAGTGAATTATTGAAATAAAATTTACTATCTGTTGGTCCTGAAATGACCTGGTTGGTGTCCAGTGATGTTAAATCCCATCCCTCTCTCTCTCTGGAAGCAGAATTGCTGAATTCACTGTTTATTAAAGGTTGTATCCAATCTTAAGACTTAGTTTGTAGATTTACTGCAGTCCAAGGTAAATAAGGTGTAATAATTGTACGAAATGTATATACTGTCATATTTTACAACTCACAAGTCCCTGTGTTTGAAACCAAAGCAATGTAACATAGTTCCAACATCCTAAAAGACAATATTGACATTACCTAAGCCATAAATTTTTGTTACAAGTTCTAGAGATTATATATTATAGCCCAAAGATAAGTTTATTGGTTTTAAGGCCACACCAATTTGATTTTCTATTCTTTAGGTTCTTGATAAATAAAAAAACACTTAAATCACATGAAAGATGTTTTGTTCAAAATTTCAAAACTTAAAAATTTGGAACTAAAAGCTTTTGAACAGCCAACCAAGTATTTTTTCCAGAAGAAATAAGAGGGGACATTTTTACAGGTGTTCCCGAAAAACAGAAAATTAAATTGGTGTGGCCTAAGTAGAATTGCAAGAGATTTTGACTTTGTTCAAAATGATTTGAATTGAACTAAATAAACATTTGTTACACAGTATTAGATTATTAACAAACTACTAGTTCTGTATTGAGTGTTCAAAATATTTGTGTCTGTATAGTCGAAGAGGCCATAATTGTAAATATAATTTTGATAGCCAAAGTAATATTTTAGACATTATATATATTTGTACATTATTGCAAATTCTCAGTGGAAAGTTGTTCTTACAATTAACAGATTGTTCATAAAGATGAAGACATAATAGAAGTTGTTATTATTTATAGGTTTGATTTTACTACATTATTTACTAATAAACACATGCATGCATTGTTTTACTGTTTCATTTGCTTTTCATTCATCAAAAACTACTTCAGTCTTCATTAGCCCCATTGGTGCAGAAAGTAGGAGGTTAAACCTCATTTCATTTCATTTATTCATAGACCATTTCAGTCTTCATTAGCCCCATTGGTGCAGAAAGTAGGTTAAACCGCATTTCATTTCATGCATTCATTCATAAACTATTTCAGTCTTCATTAGCCACTTTGGCGCAGAAAGTAGGAGGTTAAACCCCATTTCATTTCATTCATTCATTCATAAACTATTTCAGTCTTCATTAGCCCCATTGGTGCAGAAAAGTAGGAGGTTACACCTTTTTTCATTCATGCATTCATTCATAAACTATTTTCATTTACTAGGTTCCTGTTTTCTGTATATTATATATTTATACATGTATGTATATTCTAGAGTAACTCAACACTTTAATAAAAATATTATAACATGTATTACATTAAAACAAGTGGCTATAGTATTACAAATAGTATTTGTAGTATTATAGAATCTACAGAAATTGTTTGAGTAAGTAAAATATCTGATTGAATTGAAAAGTACAATTTCGTTTTGTTTATTTTTATGCAGAAACATGTAATGTGGTGAAATAGGGGTATCGTTTCGGGCTTTAATCCGTTTGAATCCAGTTCAACATGATTTTGCCTATTGAAAAAAATAAACAAATTGTTTATGTGGTGAATACAATTTCTTTTTGATATTTTTGGTCTCATGGTCACATTTTTTTGTTTTTCTTAAATTGTTTTCTTACTTCCTGTCAAAATCGTGTGCATATGATTAATACATTAGTAACACTGAGACATAGTACCTGATTTGGTATGTCATATGTTGTTGTGTTAACCCTAGATATACGCCAAAATGATGCTAGAAACCATGTATCTCAAAAAAAAAAAAAAAAAAAAAAAAAAAAATTGCTTGTCCAAGGTCGCGGAGGGCCCTATCACGGGCCCTGCCCTCTGTATATTGTACACTTCTATACATTGTATACATCGTGTCTCCAAACACATCAGACATATCTAACGTTTTAGCAGCGTGACCAGCTTCCATTCTGTACCCTCCTCGGCACAATTTAATCACTTTAACCCAGATTAGAGCCAATTTCCGTGCCGACTATGCACTTTTGCAAGGCTGTTTTTTGGAACATTTCACCAATTTCCCCAAATTGGGCCTCACACTGGAAAGAGGCCCCGCAGCCCACCATGTAATCAAGCAGCAGGGCTGCCAGGTGTGGCTATTTTCAGGTATTAATCAATTACTAATTGTAAAGTAAACCACGATAGTTGGCTTTATATATAAATCAGTATAGGCCCAGTTGTTATTCATATTCTGCAATGTATTCATATCCTGTGACTTCGGGACTCCCAAAATGGGCCCATATTTTCCACAACCGGCCCCGTGAATATGAAATGCTGTTGTGGCATTTATGCATAATAACCGATCGGCCCGAGCCCCCTACCCCCCTCTTAATAATACGAGATATTTAGTTTATTTACTTGCATCTATTGTAAGCACCGTATGTTCCTGAAGCAACGCTCGCGATTTTTACAACACCTAGACGTTGCTAGATTAGTCTGCAATTCCCGAACTTATAGCTACGTTATCTCCCTTAATTAACGTGGACACCTGAACGATAGCATCCAATTAGAGGTTGTGACACAAACAAACTGAAATCAAACATGGCTACCTCCGCGGAAACCATGACTTTGAACGAACCTTGAACTTTGCAACCGATGCTAAATGCAATAATATACTGACGACAGATTATTTGATAACATTCGATTTATTTGCCGTTTAATATGGATGTGTGTACGTTTGATGTTAATACGAACGAATATTATACTCAGGCTTCGATTTCGCTTTGAATTCGATTACCGGATGCACCAGAGAGGCTCAGACGTCTGCTTAAGGAGTAGTTCAGCTCTGAACGTAAGTTATCGTTAAAATCGCTCTGTAGGTTCAGTATCAGGTCTATTGCTAAACGATCGCGTGTCAGTCACTGTGAACGGCTGTACAATGTAAAGAAAGGAACATTTTAGTGAGAAAATAAGACACCCCCCCCCCTTACCTCGCTTAGCTCGCTATAGAGCCAGTATGTGCGACACAACATGCTGTTAAAAATATGCTAAGGAGATAAAGTTATAGGCCACTGCGGGGGATGCATTCAACGCAGATGATGATCGAAAATGACAAGCCACACATTGCTCCAAACATCGCACTAATTCCGAGTTATTTGGACTTATTTGGTAGGTACTGGGTGTTGTGTGGTAATTCGATGAGTCCCAATAACCCAATCTGTTTAGCAATAACCCTTCTTCTGGGGTACAATGCTCAAAAAGAAATGAAATGAAATGGGGTTTAACGTCCTACAGTTCTGCTCCTATACTGGGCTAAAGAAGACGGGCATACCCCATACCGTGTGCTATGAGGGAAACTTTGCCCGGGCAGCGAACTATCGCCTACTCTTATATCGAATTCCAACTGCCAAGGGAGCTTTAAATGCATTCCAATTTATACACGGGACCTCTGTTTTTCGTATCACCCGAATGACTAGACAGCTGTCCTTGTCAGGCCCTCCGTTCTGCGCCACTGACAAGGGGGAACCACGCCGGAAAATCTAGATGAACTTTCTCGGCCAATGCAGGGATCGTACAAGAATGTTCAAACTTGATGTTAGTGTTCATATGGTGAATATCTTGACAGAGGTAAAAAAAAAAAACAGAAGAGGGGTTATATCGATGCTTTGGAAAACGATAACTTTGATTCTAATATGGCGAGATTGGTAAAACTTGGTGTATAGTTTCATTTCATCAATGACTAAATTCCATCGTGACAAGTTCCGCTCAGATTTAGCAGAGATAAGCTATTTGATTCTTCACGAAATATATATTTAGAAACTTGATTCTAATTGAGCGAGATTGATGAAACTTAGTCTATGATTTCATTCCTCCACTTAGAAATGCAACTTTAATTCTAATTGAGTAAGATTGATGAAACTTAGTGTATGATTTCATTTCTCCACTTTGAATAAGTTCGATTATGAGCTTTTCAATGAGACGAAAACCCGTTGTCGCAAACAGTGCTAAACGACGTTTGAGTTAAAGCAACATCATTGTTAGATTTTGTTTTACTTATTTTATTTAGAACTAGATGTAAACGGGTGGGCTCATTTCAATATCTCGCCGTAATTTCGTTATGCATGGGATAAAATAAAACCTCTGCAAAACGCGTTTGCAATTTGCGATTCGAAAAATTGGAAAATCCAGGACATACTTCCAAATACTGAACCTTATAGGCCCCACTTTTTATTTATTGGTCAATGTATGCATAGGCCTGTTTCATTTGATATGTATAAATATGTATCTATAAATAGACCTCAAGCGTTCAGTTTACAAATAAAATATCACTCCGGGTTCAAGATAGCACGTGACACAGTTATGGGTGGATTATGTTGTTGCTTTGGGGATAATAAAAAGGTAAGTTCGGATGATAAAAGTAAAACTGAGGTATAAATATTGGCCATTATTATGTTTTAGACCCAGTAGGTTTGCTAGGTAATTGTGACAGACTGTCTGTGTCACATAATGTTAGTAAACATAATACTGATAGAACGTATTGTATTGTGTTTAAGTAGGGTCTCGTGATTGTCACCAAGGGAGGTAATAGTTACCTACATGGTCTCAGACTAGCAATTATTCGCCCATTGACTTTAATGTTAAATGGCTGTAACATCACAGGCTGTAGATTTTCGCTCAACATTCCGTTGGTTCCAATCTTTATAGGCACAATGGGGACCACATTTGGCAATCTCCTCATCATAATTTTGTAGGGGATTGACCGTTTAGATTTTTTGTTACGGGGATTTGATGTTGACTGGGGTCAAAATCTCACTTCCGACACAATGATTGCTCTGCAGAAAGACACTTTACACCCCCTATCCCTCCGCTGTAATATCATCAGTATTACCCAAAACTGCTATGAAATTGCAAATTTGATCCCTTTTCTCTAATTCTAGACAAAAAAGTCAAGCTAAAAATGCAAGAAGAGGGGAGAAAAAATTAAGGGAAAAATTGTCTATTTATAACTCGCACTACATGAAATAAGGGGAAATAATTACTAGTCTTAATTCTCATGCACTGACATTTGACTGTAATAATACTTGTCACATAAGGAGCAAATACATTTTGTTTTTGATATTGTCATTGGACACGAAAACATACAAGGTGTGTTGTGCTAGATATGATGCTTGTCTCGAATTTCTCCAGTAAATTATTGTAGAGTGATGCGTGGTCCTGTAATTAAATGAAACAGAAAGAAAAAGAAAAATATTATGAAAAAAAATATAGCACTCTGGGGTGAAAAATAAAAGAAACCATCAGTATCCGTGAGATGGGAATAATAAAGAATAAATTATGGAATCAATAAATTTCGAAAATAGTTGTGGATAAATGTATAGAGTTTATACCCTTTTAGTCTGGGATCTCTTCTAATTTTTTTTACAACATGGAGTCATAAATTTTGTCTAATCGCAGCTAAATTTAGTCAAACTTTTCTATTGGTACAAATTAATTTAAACTAATTTTATTTTACAACATGGAGTCATTTGTCTAATCGCAGCTAAATTTAGTCAAACTTTTCTATTGGTACAAATTAATTTAAACTAATTGATTAAAATAGAGATTGTCAATAGGCATGGGCTACGGTTTAATGCACAGTCATCACAATACATTGCTCATTTTGAGACAGACACGTTAGTTTTAACTTCCACTCTTCCTTATGCAATGCGGGAGTAGCCATATTTTGTCTTCTTTATACTAGAGCTTCTCCAGCTCTTTGCCGAATTTAGACAAGGAAGTCAAGGAGGCTCAGAGATGGCTCAATGTTTAAGGCGTAGTTTCCCCTTGTCAATGTCAGTGATGCAACACGGGCGAACCGAAAAGGAAAAAGTATCTAGTTGTTAGGATGATACGAAAGTCACGTCAAATATTAATACTTGTTAAAGATTTGGTTATACACACTGTGATAAAATATTTTACATTGAATAATTGTTTATTTTACAGGATCTAAGCCCGACTACTCCATTGTTATCGGATAAATCCAGCAGCCGTAATGGTGAGAGAACACCAAATAATAATACCAGTCTTGGTCATTCAGCAAGACAACATAACCCAGACAAAGAAAAACAGTTTTGTAAGTAGAACCGCTAACCGCATCTTTAGTCAGGTGGTACTGGAAATAAATATAGCACCCAAGATTCAGAAATATATTCTTGAAATAGACTGTAAGATATTTAAAGGGCGAATATGACTAGAACCCATTTGTTCTATTTACTTTTGATTCAGTGATATCACTTTTATATTGAGTCATAATATATTTATTTTGGCTATAAAACGCCTCTTTTCACGAGATATTTGACCTTTTTTAGTCATTTCACGTCATTACCCGCAATCTTGAATCGATTATCGAATTTCTTCCAGACGCATACCCCCAATTCAGTAAACTTTTGTTATTTTGATAAGTAGATACCCTAGATACAAAGAAAGTTGAATCCAGCTTTCTGCAAATTTATTCCAGGCCATAGAGGGGTCCCTTCCGTAGTTTTAGAAACCCTATAAAAATCCCAAGTCGCCCATTTTATCCACAGTTATTGCCCCTGGACTAATAATTTAACAATCTTGAAGCTGAAAGTTATTACATTTGTGAATGTTGAATCAAGGTGTAACTGTTCTAATTAAACCCTGTCTTTATTATCCGGGTCGGTACAGACAGGTAGGACGTTAAACCCCATTTGATTTTTAGAAAATCCCTTTTAAAAAAAAATTCTGTGAGGGGATATAACTCTTGAACTACTATTGCGAACCGATCAAAATCAATACCCGTGTAGAACGGGAACAAAAACTTACAGGTTGCCAGCGGCGACAATATACGATCGCATGACAAGAAAAATAGTTTTCGGGTGTATAAGGACACTCTTTCAACACTGCTAGTTCCTTACATAAAATGTCTATATTATTATCCCGCTCACATATTATTATATAATATAAGTAAAACGGTATGTTATTATGATTACAGTAACATCATTAGAACAATTATCACCTATAGTAGTGGGTGATTTGCCTCTACCGGCATTAGATAAAACATTTAAGGTGAGTTGCCAGAAATAGGTTTAAAATGTTTTGCTAATACTCAAATGAAATGAAGCGACCGGTCTAAAGCTTTCTCGCAAATTCCTATTGGAGCCTGCCTAATGAATTGTGGGCAAACCGACATAGCACTCAACAACTAGGCATCCATTACTCCGATATGTAGGTATTGCAATAATACTAAAATACGTGGAATTAAATCGGTGTAATTGACAATAACTTATCACCAAGCAAGTAGAATATGTTTAAAAATTAAAATCTCGCAAATTCCTATTGGAGCCTGCCTAATCAATTGTGGGCAAACCGACATAGCACTCACTAAGGACTTAAAGCATTTAGCTGGACATTCAATATTTATGATATATGGCTTTAGTGGATTACTATGGCCACAACGTTTCTTAATCTGACTCGGCATATGATTCCATAATTTGTTCTTTATTATTCCCATGTCACGGATACTGATGGTTTCTTTTATTTTTCACCCCAGAATGTTATTTTTTTTTTTCATCATACTTTTCTTTTTCTTTCTGTTTCATTTAATTACAGGACCACGCATCACTCTACAATAATTTACTGGAGAAATTTGAAGCCTTACGACAGGTTCTCCATGATTTTAAAGCTTTACACGAGAAAGAAACCAATGGAATCCCTACACTAAAAGAGTGCATGAAATTAATGTCGATAAATTGTGGTAAGTGGATTTATAAAACAGTTTTATATATTATGTGCTGTACTACAGAAAACGTCCATGGACTTAATAAGCAAAGAATAGATCCTAAACTGAGACCTCTGGGCATATAATGTGATGGAAAGTTCGTTATTGTGAGCTGTACGAAGTGTTCTTGGGTGAATAATTTTTGTGTTTAAATTGATACAAATTGTAACATTTTGGACAATATCTAGGAACCCTTGTGCTTTTATTTGTAATTTTAATAGGCTATAATATGACATATATACAATTTAACACTAAATGGAATATGGAATTTGACCTTGCCCTGTTTCCTTGGATGCTTTGATATTGCAACACCATTAATAAAGGAATAGTGTTATTAATTTGCTGTTGAATTTTTATGCATATTCAACAATTAGTATGATGTAAAGATGATTAATGATGACAAACTAATATTGGCCTATTGTTTCTTTAACCTTAGACAATATAACAAAATAATTGTGTAATATTCCTAGAAAATTATACAAAAGTTATGACTCTTTCCAATATCTGTATGGTTCACATTTCTAAAGTTGTAATCTCAAAATACAATGACATTTTGAAGTAGGGACAATCAAACAGAAATTTGATTAAGATCTTTATGGATTTTGGTTGATTTGGTATCATTATCAACATCATCTACGTAGACGTTTAATATCGACCAAGATTATGTGCCTAATGGCTAATAGTATTATGTGTCAGCTGGGCTCAATATAAAACCAATCCTTGTCCGTTGTCAAATGAATTTTTCTATTTCTTGATCCAAATTAAAAACTGTTACTGTTTAAATAATCATTGACATTTGATAAAGCACATTATAATGCCATCTCTCGTGTTTCCCGTAATTATGTATCAATGCATGATTAGAACCAGGCGTCCCTGTTCTTGTTATTATATTTTATGATAGGCCGTAAATCTGAATTATATAAACATTTCACGGTCTTCAAATAAGCACGAAAACACATCAAGCTGTGCATAAATTATTGATTTTCAGTTCTTAAACATTTCACAAAAAACATAAATATTATGTACATTGAAGCACGAAAACACATAAAGCAGTCCATAAAGGTTTGATATTATGTACATGGATGTAGACTATGTAAAAAAAAAAAAAAAACATTTTCAGTTATCATTCGAAGCACCACCATTCCCCACCTTCCCCACTAACCCCTAAAAAGCCAAATAAATACTGTTTTGTGATGTTAATGCTGCGTTACGGTAAAAATATCTCAAACTTGAATTGCTGAACACGTCATATTTTCTACTCTAAACTTAATATAGATATACAATCGGGTTGTAGTGATACTTGAAAATCGGAAACACGTAATTACAGTAAATGCGACGCGAAACAACGTTACATTAGTTAAGTTTGTGTGTTTTGAAGCAAGCTGTATGTACCATACATTAGTTAAGTTTGTGTGTTTTGAAGCAAGCTGTATGTACACATACGCCCTGTCATAGCTAAAGTAATGTCGAACTTTTAGAGACATATTTGATTTGAAAAGGCCTAAATCTAAGTTGACAATTAATCAAAAAATGTGTGATAATGTGATTCATAGCATAAAGAAAAGTAAAGCTTAACAGTTTTAGTCCCATGGCAAATAAATAAAATGGAAGACTTGAGTACAGCGTCGATCAAGTGACCCCCACTCCCACAAGATAAAATCCCCCCCCCCCCATTCACAAACAAAAAACAAAACCCTTAACAAAACTATCAGACAAGGCATCAAAACGAACTAGAAAATAAAAACTTTTCGACACATTTTAGATTTAGAAATTAATAACCGAGTTCTTGGATAAATAATTCTTACCATTTTGACATTCAGAATTCAGTTTTATTACTGAATCTTGACTAATGTATTGTTTAAAATATTATTATTATAGGTGATGCCGTGATAACAGCCACGAGAACGAGATATTCGGTACAGCTACAGTATGATGTAAAGAGTATTTCAGAATGTTGTAAAGGTCTTCCAGAAGATACCCTAGAAGCTTTAGCGCTTTATAATAAAGCAAACACCTTAATTCGCAATATCATGGAGAAAAGTCCTCAAGTCAAAGATTCAATTCAGCTTGTACTTGATGACGAAGAAAAGTTAAGGCGCGAGGTTACTAAAGCAGATCTATCGCCATCTGAAGGACCGGAAGCTGTCAAGACATGCGCGAGAAATATTAACAATCTTCGGTACGTACCTGGAGCTCTTGACACTATCAAAAAATATACCAAAGCTTTATTTCAAGAACTTTTAGATTCTTCCAAACGTTTCTTCAGTGAACATGACATAACCGATAAACCTGGAATTGGAAAACTTGTTGCTTAACAACTTTCTCAGTAGAATGCGGCATTCCCACGTTGGTTGTTGGATGCGCTTGTTGAGTTCGATATGGGAAAAAACTCTTGCGATACTTCCGCTATCTCAATAAAAATGTACTTCCGCTGTCAAATGAATTGAATGTTATAAATTATTTTTGAATGTTTATGTGGAATTATGAAGTGTTATGCCAGAATATGATTGATGTATATATATATATATATAAATCAATTCCATGATAAATGATTTTGAATATTCATATAAAATATAAAGATGTTTTGACTGTTATGGTCTGTTTTAATATTGAAAGCTTTATACCCCCGTCAGATCTGGGTGGTGTCCTTACTGCGCTGCTACAGCTACGGAAAATGATCTCAGAGCGCGTCAATATCGCCATATGCGTCGTAAAAGCGTGGTGGAAACGCCAAATATCGTGCTGTGGTCTTCATGATCGCCAATGATCGCCGAATCACAGCGTTTGTTTTGGACATGTTCTGCGATCTGGCCTCTAAAACTGTGAGAACTCGACTATTTTCAAGTTTGTAATTTTTGGGGACATTTTCTCGCGTTGTGTTCACGTTTGCCGGCGACCTTGTGTATTTTCTGGTCGCCGTACGGTCGCAGTAGCGCAATAAGGACGCCATCCCGGTCTGACGGGGGCATTAGCTAATAGTACGAGAGGCACATGCCACCTGTGCCCTGTCCAAACGCTGGCAAGTTGGTGACATGGTGGTCTTGCCCCATTAAAGATTAAACAAGTCTATTGAGAACAATGCAAACATGTTTGATGACGAAAATCAAATAATTTGTTCGTATGTCACTAAAAAATCTAAACATTTCAAATGTGGTCGCCTGCCACAATAGACTATTAACTACCGCATAACTCTAGTCTCTAAAAAGATAGATAGATGACACATATTAATTAATTGCACTTATATCTTTTTGTAAATCACCAGACAGACAGGCTGCTTATAAATCTATACTTAACCAGAAATACTCTTGATTGATCTCAGCCAAGATTTTGATGCTATGAAACTATACACAAAGTCTAGTCACTCTCACTCAAAGTTATCGTTCTTAAAGCATCGACCAATAAAATTGCTTATCCCTGCTTAGCCTTAGCGGTAAAGGCTAACCATGGAGATCAGTCAAGATATTCACCTAATGAACACTCTACCTCAATAACAAGGAGAAGTATTCTATTCCAAAGTCTCGACCAACAGAACTGAAGTATCTATTAAGCATAACCAGCATCGAACTTAGTCGTAATGAAACTAATTATACGTCAAGTTTCACGTATTACACTTATTTACAATCAAAGTTATCACGCCCCAGAGTATCGACAAATCCATGCTTAGCCAAAGCAGAAAATGCTCATCATTGAACTCAATCAAGGGATTCACTAAATCAACATCACCACCAAGTTTCAATATTCTAGCGTAATTAAAAGTTATTGTATCCCAAAAATGTGACGGGTAGGCAGGCGAACATACGGACAGATACATAAAATATATTATGTCCCAAACAGTGAAAGGCTGGTGGACTTTGGGGGACAAATATATAAAGTATACGAACATTGTCTGACTGATACCATTCAAATGTTATTCGTGAATTCCATTAGTCATTGATGACTCATCTGACAATATACAGGAAACCGTAACATATTTATGAGGACTCCAGCTAAATCACTCTATCTTGACCATTAGAGTACCGTCTTAGACACTATAATGTAGTGAAGAAACGGTTATATGGGCATGATTAAGTATTATATTAAATGTCATTTGACCCCTTTCTTACAAACTCAACAGCTGAATTGTTGTAAAACAATACACTGTTAAGTGTTTCAACATACGTTTAGATTAATATATCCCGGTTGGTGCTGACGTCCAATAAAACACCATTTCATTTCATTTCACCTCACATCGTTTCGATTTCATTACGAAATGATCTATTTCAGTGTACAATTGTTCAAGAGAGAACTTTGTTATGCATTTAAATATCTAATCGTACAATGAATTTTATTTTACCGGAGGTCATTTCAAACATGCGGGTAGGTTTGTAATGACCACGACTAAGTATAGTTTATTCATACGCGACGTAAACTCTTTATTTTGTAGCATTGCTTATGCTAGCATCCCGCTATCGTGCGATGCGTTACGATACGATTGTCCGTTTTAAGTCCACGATCCGCTACGTGCAGATGCGTTCGGATACGTTTCGACACGATCAACAAGACTGACCTTAAAACAGCTAAATCGCTAATATTTGGGGCCTAGAAATTAACACAAATGGGTCGTAACGTATATAATAATGTAATATGAATGTATATAAACTGATTTACATTCAATCGTTTCAGTTTTTACTCTAATTTCAAAGCAGTTATGTTCGGCGAAATACGCCAGAAGTCTCAAACGAATGGCAATCTCTAGCGTCTGGTTATTCCTGTCTACACCGATAGTATTTATTGCGCATGCTCTCCACATAAGAATATGAGGCCACCGTTTGACATGACTTGTTGAATATGTCTAACCTCGTTCTTCCGAGTCGCTCGTTACAAATTGCGCTGAAACGCATTATGGTACACGATTCGTGTACCAATCGTAAAATGTTTATTTTGCCTTAATTATTGCATATCAGAAGCCTATCTTTTCCCGGTAAGATCACAACACCAATGTTGATTTAAACTGACAAATATTTGTGTTTTCATTGTCGAAGGTTTTGGATGATATTGAGTTAGAGACTTAGCTACTTTAATATATGCTACGACTGACCTCAATATATGATAAGACCTGATAGGATCACCGCGATTACTCCACTATTAAAACCACTATTTCAATCGTAGCACGAATCGTGATAGTGGGAACCTGGCATTAAACAGTAACAACCTCTTATATTTATATCGATTACTCCCATGGGACCATATCGATCAAATATTGACCAATTATCTTTATAGTACATTTGGAGAGTAGGAAATAACACAACAAAGGAATGAAATTAACATGGTGATTATTTGTTTATTTCTATGGTACGCTTTGAAACGTATACAAAGCAAAGGTAAAATTATCAAGTAAAAATAATAGTGAAATTATTAGCAAGTGCAGGGGCACCACAGATAAACAATTACATAAGACAAACATAAGGACATTGCACAATATACACCCCCAACAACAAACGTTACAAGCGTCAACTGCGCTGTACGCACCCGAGTCTGTAGTGATAAACATGTTCTTACTAATCACAGACGAAAGATGGTTTTCTATCAATAGCCCCGAGTGTTGCAAAAGGTGACCCAGTGCCGGACTGGTGGGTCGAAGGCCCACCTGTCAGGTCATTGACCAAGGCCCACACAAGTACGCACCGAAGGCGCGCGAGCGTCGGGGGGCGGGGGGCGGTCTCCCATCAGGAAAATTTTGAAAAATGACAACCGCAAACCCATTTTCCAAGCATTTCAGACCAAGCAGAAGAAGGTAAATTTTTGATTTCTTGATACAATTTTTTTCTTTCTTTCTCTTTTTTATACGCCCACATTTTCATGTGGACATATATTGTCGTCGCCCCTGCCCGTCCGTCCGTCCGTCCGTCCACAATTGTTTGTGAACAGTCTACAGGTCACAATTTTTATCCGATTTCAATGAAACTTGAAATATAGGTTTATCACCCTAAGATCTCGGTTCCTGTCGATATTGGCATCTAACGGACCGTAACTTCATGGATTATGGCCCCTGATAGTACGAAAATTCACGTTTTTGGCTTGTGAACACTGTAGAGGTCACAATTTTTTATCCGATTTTGTTGAATCTTGAAATGTAAGTTTATAACCCAAAGATCTCGGTTCCTTTCGATATTTGCGCATATCGGACCGTAACTTCCTGAATTATGGCCCCTGATTGTACCTAAAAACGCGTTTTTTGGCTTGTGGACTCTATAGAGGTCATAATTTTTATCCGATTTAAAACACCGTATTATTATATCACCGTTGAACCCTAAGGACGGTTTAGTTCGAATTTCATGAAAATCGGCCCAAAACTGACAGACAAAATGTCCGCCGTTCATTCTCAAATAGTGTAAAAATATGGTATATCAAGGTTGTGGACCCTATAGAGGTCACAATTTTTATCCGATTTTGTTGACACTTGAAATGTAAGTTTATAACACAAAGATCTCGGTTCCATTCGATATTCGCGCATATCGGACCGTAACTTCATGAATTATGGCCCCTGATTGTACGCAAAAACGGGTTTTTTGGTTTGTGGACCGTATAGAGGTCATAATTTTTTATCCGATTTAAAAAACCGTGTTAATATATCACCGTTACACCCTAAGGACGGCTGAGTTCGAATTTCGTGAAAATCGGCCCAAAACTGACAGACAAAATGGCCGCCCTTCGTTCTCAAATAGCGTAAAAATATGGTATATCAAGGTTGTGGACCCTATAGAGGTCACAATTGTTATCCGATTTTGTTGAAACTTGAAATGTAAGTTTATAACACAAAGATCTCGGTTCCTTTCGATATTCGCGCATATCAGAGCGTAACTTCCTGAATTATGGCCCCTGATTGTACGAAAAATCACGTTTTTAGCTTGTGGACCCTATGGAGGTCATAATTATTATCCGATTTAAAAAATCATATTATTATATCACCGTTACACCCTAAGGACGACTGAGTTCGAATTTCGTCAAAATCGGCCAAAAACTGACAGATAAAATGGCCGCCCTTCGTTCTCAAATAGCGTAAAAATATGGTATATCAAGGTTGTGGACCCTATAGAGGTTACAATTTTTATCCGATTTTGTTGAAACTTGAAATGTAAGTTTAGAAACCCAAAGATCTTGGCGCCTTTCGATATTCGCGCATATCGGACCGTTACTTAATGAATTATGGCCCCTGATTGTACGAAAAAACGCGTTTTTAGCTTGTGGACCCTATAGAGGTCATAATTTTTATCCGATTTAAAAAAATGTATTATTATATCACCGTTACACCCTAAGGACGACTGATTTCGAATTTCGTGAAAATCGGACCAAAACTGACAGACAAAATGGCTGCCCATCGTTCTCAAATTGCGTAAAAATATGGTATATCAAGGTTGTGGACCTTATAGAGGTCACAATTTTTATCGGACCGTTACTTAATGAATTATGGCCCCTGATTGTACGAAAAAACGCGTTTTTAGCTTGTGGACCCTATAGAGGTCATAATTTTTATCCGATTTAAAAAAAATGTATTATTATATCACCGTTACACCCTAAGGACGACTGATTTCGAATTTCGTGAAAATCG